GTACAGTCCTTTCACTACCTTCAACACTTTTCCAGGTGGTACTTTGATTCCTACTGGGGGCTTTAGATATACATCATGGTGTATAGTAGAGTTCAGGTACACTTGTTTTATGTCAATAGAGTCTATTTCCCAGTCTCGTATTGCTGCAACAGCAATCACCCCTCGAATGGATTGGATGGGTGCTACTGGTGTGAAGACCTCTGTGTAGTTGATGCCCTCACATTGGGTGAAACCTCGTGCCACAAGCTGGGCTTTGAACTTTGTCAGCACGAGGTTCACATTGGTTTTGATCTTGAGTACCCAATGCATGTCGACGGTGTTTGCACCCTTTGGGAGGTTGGCAATCTCCCATGTGCCCATCGCTTCTAATCCATCCAGCTCCTTTCACATGGCTTCCTCCCAGTGCTTTCTGTCTTCTCCATTCATTGCTTCATGTATGGTTGGGTCCAGGTTCTTTCTCCATTCCAGTTGCATCGCTACAAGTCCGAAGGATTTACTGTCAATCTGGGCTTTGGCGATTGATCCTTGTTCCATCACCTCCACCATTCCTCTGCTTAACCTTTCTTCCGAATCTGTCTCCATATCCATGTATTCTTGTAGTGGCCCTTCATCTGTTTCATTGAATATATTTTCTTTGTTATATCCTAGATCTTCAAAATTCTCTTCTGTCATCATTGCTGGAGGTGCCTTTGTGTCAACCAGTTGCCACTCTGTTCTGTCTGACCAGCACTTTGATTCCATGAATTTTGCTGAATTGCTCCAGAATATGTTCAGATTATAGTCTGGACTGTAGAATAGCCAGCCCTTTCTCTCTAGACTGTATCCCAAGAAAATGGATGCAACAGCTTGCTGGTCCAGTTTCTTGTTGTCCCATTTGACTTTGGGTATGTTTACCCATGCCAGACAACCAAACACTCATAGAAGTCTTAAAGCTTGCTCTGGCGACTTGCTGAACATGGCTTGGTAAGGGAATTCATTATCAATGCTCGGAGTGAGGTTTATTTTGAATGCCGCAGCTCTGATCATGTATGGCCAGAACTTCTTCAGTAGTCTCCTCTGCATTAGCAATGTCCTTGTCTTCTCTCCAAGGGTCCTGTTCATTCTCTCTACCTGTCCATTTTGTTTACTGTTGTATCCTATGGTGGTTTGCCACTCTATGCCCCTTTCTAGCGACCATTCCAATGCATCATTGCTTCTCCATTCGGTTCCTTGATCAGATTGGATCACTTTTAGCTTCTGATCCATCTGTGTTTCCAGGAACAAAACAATCCTTTTGAGTTGCATAAATGCATGACTCTTTTGTGTCAATGGCTGTGCATACACATACTTGCTATGATCGTCAACCAGCACTAATGTGCATGTGTACTCCATCACATGGGATGAATCTATTATTAGATTGACATGGATAAGATCCAGGGGCCCTATGGCTCTTTCGCTGCTACCTTGCCCCATTCGAGCACTTGTGCTCTTGGATTGTATGCACTGCTCACATGTCAGAGCAGTGTTTGGATCCAATTCCATGGTATGCTTATCCTTTAACTTGCTCATGATTGCCTTAGCTTTATCCCTCCCTGGGTGTCCAAGATGCTCATGCCATAGTTGTTGCTTTGAAACTTTCAGCTCATTCTCAATATGCTCGAACTCCTCATCAATGCCTTCAAACAATGGTGTTGATGTGGCCATCACACTTTCTTGCCATGTGTTGCCTTGGAACTCCAAAAGTCCTCACTCACGATTCTTTGCAATCTTAAGTGTCATGCCATTTGTTAGAAAAATTTGACCACTGGTTGTGTCCAATATCACTTGTGCTCCTTCATCTGTTAATGAATTCGTTGACAGAAGGTTAACATTAAGGTGCTTCACGTATAATACATTTTGTAGGGGGATTTCCCTGTAATCTGTTGATATGCTTGCATCTCCTATAGCTGCTGCTTCCAAGACCTTGCTTCTGGTGGTAATTATCTGCTTTTGGCAAGTTCTCAGATGGATGAGCATGCTATAGTTGTTCACCATATGATAACTTGCCCCCGAGTCCAAGATCCAATGAGCTGTCTCTTTTGTGTTCAGGGGGTCTTGCCACTTCAATGGGAGGGTGAGGGAGCACCACACTTCCTATTTAGGTTTAGCGAGGCGGGAGTCTTTGGGGATGGTGACCGAGGCATCGTGTAAGCGGTCGCGCGCCAGAGACTAGCTGAGGTTGATTGAGTAAGGTCTACTCGATATGATTTGCCTAAACGTAACCAAGCATCATCGCCTAGTAAGTCTCAACTGACTGCCTTGAACACTCTGTTCAGAGGTTGTGCGGCACAGACATTGTTTGTTGGTGAGTGGGTGATACACCCTCCCCAACAGTACAAGTGTTCATAGTACTGTTGATAATGCTCTTGGATGTTGTCTGGACCACAATATGCTAATCGCCTACAGAGGACAGGAGTTACTGGACCACTGGTGTGAAACACTGCCTACAATAACCGACTGGACTGCTGGTGTTGAGCAACACCACCTACAGCAAGGAACTGGACTGCTGGTGTTGAAGAACACTGCCTACAGTAATGAACTGGACCACTAGTGTGAAGAACACTGCCTACAGTTGTTGACTAATGGTGATACAACACACATGTTGAGAGTCATTGCAAGAGCACTGCTATTGCGATGATACATAACCGAGTAAGTATAGAGTAAGTAAGTTGAGTTCAGAGTGGATACCGATCCACTTGTATGCTATGGTAGAATGAGAGTATTTATATGTCTGGTCAGTGTTTTCCCTCGACACCTATCCTGCTCCTCTTGAGGGGCCTTTGTCCCCTGTTAGGCACTGCCTTGCCCTGCTGGCATCAACCCCTTCGATACTGTGCTCCTACCATTTGCTTGGCATAAGGGTTATGCAACACTGCCCTCTCGCCTACATGCTCTCCTTCTGTCTGATGTGTGATGCCCCCTTTCGGCACAGCCCCCTTTCAACTTAATCTTGTGAATTCCCTTTTGAACCTTGTGACCATACCCCCTGGTCATGTGGTCACATCAGCACAGTTCCATCTCGACTTGTTCAGATCGGCCAACTAGTTGAAGTGTGCTGATCCAACTGACTCCGACATCGGCACAGCTCCGAATACTTGTTCAGATCAGCCGACTAGTTGAAGCATGCTGATCTGACTGATTCTGACATCAGCACAGCTCCAAATACCTGTTCAGATCGGCTGATTAGTTGAGGCATGCTGATCCGACTGTCTCCGACATCAGCACAGCTCCAAGTACTTGTTCGGATCAGCTGACTAGTTGAAGTGTGCTGGTCTGGCTGACTCTGACCAATCCCATGAGATTGATCTGGATTCCCGGGGTTTGATCGATCTCATAATTCATGTGCGCTGCCAACCCAATTAATCTCATTGATCCCCAATGGTTTTTGACTCTGATCAATCTGGTGCACCCTTCATATGTTGATCTTCTGCACACCCTTCATATACTGCTCCATTACGTGACATTACCATAACTGCCGCTGATCATTTGGCGCACTCTCTTGCGCAGGCCAGCCGTCCCTGTGACACGTCGCATTGGCTAATACCATGCCCAGGTCGCTTGCAGATCCAACATCGGATTCGGCATGGTCTGCCTGCGTTCCTCGAGCTCGCGTGGCTGTTGTTGGCTTTGGCTTCAGTCTCTCTGGTCCATTCGTTTTGATCATCGTTGCCAGCGGTTCTAGCGCTGGCTTGTCAGGGGTCGATCTTTTGCATGGGGATGCTCTCGACAGCAGTCTGCCAGATGCTTAGTGCAGTGGCAAGGGTGTTGAAATCGATTTGATGGATGGTAGCAACTGTCTCCTTATACACTGGATGCCGGATCGTGCATTTCTGCAGAGCCAAGAACAATGTATCATTGGCAAATGGTTTGCCGAGGAGGCTGCTTTCAGTCTGTATGGACTGGATCTCTTGAATTAGCTTTCTGGCATCCAAGTGAAACATCTTTGTATCATTGAGCTGCAAGATGAGCACAAGTCTGTGAGGCATCTTGGTGGCTTCGTTTGTGAGACCATTTTTGATCTTTCTCCATACTTGATTGAAAGTAAGGTACTCTTTGATTACATCTAGAATGAGGTAATTTACATTGTGTTCTCCAGTAGTGTCGATTGTTCCATGCAGGGCATTAATTAAAGCATCATCGAGGGAGCAGCTCCATTTTGGGTGCTTCTTGTCATATGTTCCCTCGAGATGTTTCATTGCATGGGGCACAGATCAGAGGAAAGATTTCACATGAGTGCTCCAGCTATAATAGCTGTGTGACATGAGCTTTGGCATGGGTTCGAGGAGTTTTGCTAGGGTGCAAAAGTTATATCGCTTGTCACCATCATTGAAGTCAGAGTTGGAATCAGTGTCTTCATCGGCTTCATTGTTGATGACCTCTGGCTCATTCTCATTTGTGGCATCATTGTCTACCTGAACCTGGGTGTTCTTGCCTTTTCTGCTTCCTTTGATCCTTATTTTGGTGTCTTCTACCATTGTTGTCAATGAGTTTCAGTTGGCTCAGTGATAGCTTCTTCAGACTCTTAATCAATTGAAGATAACAATTAATACATGGTGTTATCGGGGTCATGATCAGACTCCCTTTACAACAGCTGTATGTTCTATGTAATGCTTAGTTTTCATAGTGTGAACCTAAATGACAAACACATATATATACTCCATTTGCCACTCTAGTCCTATCCGAGGTGGGACATGTCACTTCATTTGTACTCCTATGTTGCTATGATACTGAGTGCCACTGAGCTGTTGCCATGACAACAATCATGTATCTCATTGTGCTTCTTGCTTAAGTAAGCCTCCTGTGCCTCAGTGTCTCGGCCGTGACACGTGCATCTTGCTTGAGTTGCCGACGCATCTTCAACTGAATTCCATACAGCTACAGATCACGTGTAGCATTCTGGAAGTGGAGCTAATCGGCAAGCTTGACACTACTTAACACGACCTTGCCATCCACGACGTCTCCGAATCCATATCAAATTCACCATGACGTCGTCACAGGCGTCTGGAGACAGCAATATTCCAGCCAATACGGGCGAAGGCGTCATTCCGTCGTCCTTCTTCGATATGCCCATCGACTTTGGCGCTGGCAACGACAACAACATGAACTTTGACGCGATGACCAACTTCTCGATGGGAGACGTTCTCATGTCGAACGCGACCGACTTTGATGCATTGACAGCTCAGATCGCTGCCAATATGCCTCTGATACCAGCGACCGCACTTTCTGCCGCAGGACCTTCGAATATCACAGGGACGCCGCAAGCATATCCACCACCTCCACCATCACCAGCGACGGTGTGGAATGCTGTTAAGATCGAAATGGACGACTCGAATTCAGCCGCAGCTTCCTCTCCCATGCCTGCTGAGGGCTCGACACCAAAAGCAATCACTGCAAAAACAAAGAAGCCGACAAAGCCCAAAACAGAAGGTGGCGCAGAGACAAAGCCGAAGAAGCCAAAGAAGAAGCCAGCAGCAGCGGCTTCCACTGACTTGAGCGCTGCAGCAGAGTCGTCTAAAGACGGCGCAGTCGCCACACCACCGAAGCCGAAGAAGCCTGCGAAGAAGAAAGCAGCGGACAAGGACAACGCGAAAATTGCAAGCAAGGGCCCGACACCTTCCGCGACCGCATCACCGGCGCCTTTCGCTACACCAGCCTCTCCGAGCAAAGAGACAAAGTCCAAATCAAAGAAAGCTGGGGGCCCCAAAGCTGGAGGAAAGGCAGCCAGCAAAGCAAGATCATCCACGGCCAGATCTGTATCGCGCATGTCATCAGTGGGCAGAGATGCAGGGACACCAGCAATGTCGCGAATCGGCAGTCAAAGGCCACAAGATGAAGCCAATGACGAAGAGGAACAGGCACCCGCTCGCCAAGCACCACCGGAAGAGGAAGAGGCCGAAGATGAAGAAGGTGAAGCAGACGATGGTGTAGAAGAGCTTGGAAAAGATCACTTTTCGACACAGGAAGCCATCTATGCCGCGCAACAACGCAACATGGGGTGAGTATTGTACTGCACGATAGATGATAGATGTAGACCAATGAGCTGACCTTGCCTCAGCACGCACACTATCTGTTGACACAGTCTATTGTCGATGGTCATGGATGAGGACCAGCTAGATCGACACATGGCCTCTCGTCGAGGCGCTTTGAACAAGGCGAGCGTGCGAAAGGTATGTATCCACCTCAATCCAGCCTCCGTGTCGGCTTCTCTAAGCCAGTGTTCTGACCTCTGTTCCTCATCCCCACTATCTTGACTCCACTACAGCTCGTCAATCACGTTCTTTCGCAATCAGTCTCCCAGCACGTTGCGATGGTCGTATCAGGTGTAGCCAAGATCTTTGTCGGTGAGATCATTGAGCAAGGTAAGCTTCTCCATCCTCATTTCGCTTTCCCTCCTCTCGACTCCGCGCTGACTGAATCCGTTTTAATATCCTCGCACAGCTCGCGAAATCCAATCGTCACACGCCGAACAAGGTCCGCTCCGACCGAATCATCTTCGCGAAGCACATCGACAATACTATCTCAAACGCGAGCGTCCAGGCTACTACCCTCCAGGAACCAATACCGGTTTCCCTGGTCTGGGCAAACGAAGGCGCATGTTCTAGCTCAAAGCATCGCAGTCTCTTCCTCACTTGTACCATCTATATCATCTATATCATCTATATCATCCTTATCCTCGTGCGCCCGGCAAGCTGTACTATCATTGCATTTCTGTTGAACCAATATATATTCTACCCGCCTCGAGAGTGATGAGATGGGCAGACTAGAGCTTGGAAACAATCCTCTTCTTCTCTTTGAAGGTCTCAGGAGGAAGCTTTTTTGCCATCTCCCTCATCTTACGACGAAGGATTTTGCCTGAAGCGGTCTTTGGGATAGAGTCGATACTGTGGGTATGAACGGTTCCGACAGCGTGTGAAAGGCAAGAGATAGGCGTGGGAAAAGTTAGTTGGAATGTACCGACAGTCAGCAATCAGCGCGGAAACTGGGAAGGACTTACAATGTAACACCGCACAAATGCTTGTATCGAACCTTATTATCAGCAACAAACTTGAGAATGGACTGCTTGATGCTCTCTTCTTGCTCTTTACCATTCGATTTGGTTCGCTTTCTTGCGTCTTGGGTGAGTGCAACGAAGGCGAATGGCAACTCGCCCGCTGCTTCATCTTGGATTCCGATTACACCGCAGTCGTAAACATCAGGGTGATCAAGCAGGAAGCCTTCCAACTCGGCAGGAGCGACTTGGAAGCCTTTGACCTTGATCAACTCCTTCAGGCGGTCGATGAAGAACACGTCGCCATCTTTGTTGATCTTTACCTCATCACCACTACGCAACCACCCACCAGGAAGGAAAGTCTCCTTTGTTGCTTGTTCGTTATTTGTGTAGCCGAGTGTGATCTGTGGACCTCGAAGCCATAGCTCTCCCAATTCATCATAGCCGACTTGCTTGCCTTCCGAATTGACGACCTTTGCTTCAGTGTTGGGGAATAGCCTTCCAGCAGAGCCCAACACTGCTTTCTCAGCAAGAGGGAACATTGTCGTCACTGAGCAAGTTTCTGTCATTCCTGATCCCTGTCCCCAATCCAGCTCTGGGAATCTGTTGGTAAATTGCTTGCTAAGATCATCCGAGAGGGGCGCTGCGCCCACCATGGCAAATCTTGCGATTTTCCGGAGTTCATCAAGGTACGGTGGCACGCTAGGGTCCTTGCAGAAAAGGACAACTTGTGGTGGGACCAACCACCATACGCTAATTCTATACTTGATGATCGTTTTGACCATCGCTTCTATGCCTCTGAACTTGCTCATGACCAGATTCGTTATACCAGCGAAAAACACAAAATGCGTGACCGTTGAAAGGCCAAAGATATGGACTTGCGGAAGGACGCCAAGAGAGACATCTTTGCCTGGACAGAAGCGTCCAGGCGAACCGATTTTATTGCCGACCTTGTTGTGCGCCATAGTCTGAAGTGCGTTCGAAGTGACGGCGTAGTGCTGGATTGCGACGCCTTTTGGCAAGCCTGTTGTACCGGAAGAGAAGGAAAGGAAAGCAATCTTGGTCTTGCCTTCTCCTGGCTTTAACTTGTGTCGGGTCGATGCAAGGACGCTCTCGCCTTTTGCCTTGACGATATCGCGACCCTCCTCGATTAGACCTGCCAACGTCCATGCGCCTTGCGATTTACGCTGTACTCGGCCATAGTTGGACTCGGAGTACTTGAGCACAGTGATAGGCTCTTGGAGGATGACCACCTGATCGCGCGGGATGTTGGCAAGCTTGGCTGCTTCGAAGCCGTTCTTGAGCGAGACAGGATCTTCACTGACGAAGAGAAGTTTCGAGTTGGAAGTTTCGAGCTGGAAGCTAAGCTCTTTTGCCATGAAGGCAGGGTTGGCTGGAGAGACGGTGGCTCCGAGGCGGTGTGTAGCCCACACCGCAATGGGGAAGTAGATGCTGTTGGTCGCATAGATACCTGCTCGAGTGTCAGGCTTGATGTCACACCTTTCTGCCAACGCTACCGAAAGAAGGTCAGTGTTCTCCTTGCACTCTTCGAAGTTCCACTTCTGAGCCGTCTCTTCATCGATGAAGAGTGGGAGGCCTGTGTTGCGCATGTCGGGTCGAGTCGATGGGAAGTATTCGTACATGAAACCGTAAACGTCGAGGTTGTCGGGGAGCTCCTTGACGGGCTCGGAGGCCGATGTGAAGATCATGTTGCTTCGCTTGTTTGCTATCGATAGATGCGAGAAAGTTGATGATCGTGCGATAGTGTTGGAAGGAAGTAGGAAGGAAGGAAGGAAGGATAAGATTAAGGGAGACACAAAAGCAGCAAGTGTAGACTCGCTTCGAAACCTGACATAGAGGTCCCTCGTGAGGACGCCGGTTAGAACGGGTAGCATCTAGGCCGGAGTAGATATCGGCTAGGCTTCGAGGCAGACTCTTTCGAAATCACGGCTTTGGATCTGTCTACGCAACAAAATGTTTTACCGAGCAAAGCCTGGGCTGCTAACGCACACAGCTGATGATCTCGATCCACTATAGTGACGCAAGACCGCGGAGAGGCAAATGCAAATTTTGACACATGGCAGACACGAGGAATTCCCCGCGTTGATTTTATGGTGAGCTGGGGTACCCCACACTTTTTTTTTGTTTTTTTGTTTTTTGTTTTTTTTTTTTTTTTTGTTTTTTTTTTTTTGTTTTTTTTTTTTTTGTTTTTTTTTTTTTTTTTTTGTTTTTTTTTTTTTTTTTCTTTTGTTTTCGGGCGCTTGTCGCTTATCCGCTGCACCTCACTGTCACTTTTAGGTCGTCTCGCCCTGCTCAGGAGATCAGATGACCCACCTCCGGAACGTCGCACGTCTATCTACCCCTACGCCGCTCTCTACCTCCCTCATTCGTATCGCAGCCATTCTCAAACGTCGATTCTGTCGAGTCCCACGGCCAGAATGCTTACAAGGATAGAATTAATGTTGTTCGCTTCGACAGTTGCAGTGGAACTTAATTCTAGATCCTAAGCTCGGTCGTTTAGAAGCCAGCTCTTGAGAGCAACAGAAGGTGGCACTGAAGAGTGTGGAGATGCTTCAGGACCGTGCGTCGGCACCCTTCCGCTTCTCAAGCCCTGGCGAGCCATGCCGTTCGCGGTAACCCTGTCGGACCTTCCAACTGCTCGCCAAGTCCAGGATTGTTTCCGCTACTCATCTAGCCGCATCGCCACCCGAACGTATAAAGAAGCTGGATGTCTCTGCCTCTCACCTCAGCAGAATCCGAAGCCCTATCTCTCACACACTGCACATCACGAACAACTCTTCATCCATCGCTTCATCACTCTTTCAAATCGCACGACCAAGTTCAACTCATTATGGCCGAGCATTATGACGCTGTTGTGATCGGAGGTGGCTTTGCAGGTATCTACCATCTGTACGTGCTCCGTAAGCTTGGCTTCAAGGTGCACCTCTTTGACGCTGCTTCGGACTTTGGTGGTATCTGGAGACTCAACTGCGTAAGTGATCTGTTCGCCACTGCAATCAATATTCGACAGACTGCGTTGCTGACGACCTCGTCCCTTCTTCATCTCACAATATTTCTTTACGTCTGAGCAGTACCCTGGCGCAAGGGTCGACAGCGAGGTACCCCTCTACGGCCTCTCCTTCCCCCAAGTTTGGAAGTCGTGGAACTTCTCGTGCAAATATCCCGACTACAAAGAGCTCCGCCAGTACTTCAACCACCTCGATGACAAGCTCGATCTCCGCAAGGACTGCAGCTTCAACCACCGTGTCCGCAGCTCTCACTGGAACGACAGTGCCCAGCTGTGGACCGTCACCGCTGGCCCAAGCGAGCAGCAGGCACGCAAGGTCACAGCTCAGCACGTTATCTTCTGCCTCGGCTTCGCTGCCAAGGTCAACATCCCCAAGATCCCAGGCATGGAGAAGTTCAAGGGTCAGATCATTCATACTGGCGAGTGGGACGAGTCCATCGACTGCACTGGCAAGAAGGTGGCTGTCGTCGGCACCGGTGCTTCGGGTATCCAGGTCAGCCAGGAGATCGGTCCCATCGTAGACCGTCTCACGGTCTTCGTCCGCACTCCTAACCTTGCTCTTCCCATGCGACAACAAAAGCTCGACGCCAGCGCACAGGAGGCCTTCAAAGACATCTACCCCGAGATCTTTGAGAAGCGCAAGAAGACCTTTGGTGGCTTCCACTACGACTTTGATCAGCGTGATGCCATGTCGGTCTCTCGCGAGGATCGTGAGAAGTTGTGGGAGGAGCTCTGGGCTCGTGGTGGTTTCCACTTCTGGCTGGAGACCTTCCACGACCTCTACAGCGATAGGGAGGCAAACAAGCACGCATACCAGTTCTGGCAGAGGAAGGTCGCTGAACGTATCAGTGACCCCAAGAAGCGCGAAATCCTGTGTCCCAAAGAATGGCCTCACACTTTCGGCACTGTTCGACCTTCACTCGAGCAGAACTACTACGAGGTGATGAACCAGGACAACGTCGAGATTGTCTCGATCAAGCGTAGTAGCGATGAGGACATCAAGGAGTTCACTGAGAAGGGCATCCTACTCAACAGCGGACGAGAGATCGAGCTTGACCAGATCATCCTCGCCACTGGATTCGACACTCACACCGGTGGCTTCAAGCAGATCGACATTCGAGGAAAGAAGGGTCTTGCCTTGACGGAGAAGTGGTGCCAGGGTTGCAACTCGCTTAACGGTCTCAACACTGCTGTAAGTCATTATGCTCTCAAACATTATGTTCTTACTCGACATCATCACTGACACACTTGTCTCAATTCTTACTTCATCTTGATCCGAACAGAAATTCCCTAACCTTTTCTTCTTGTACGGCCCCCACGGTCCCACAGCTTACTCGAACGGTCCATCAACCGTTGAGATCCAAGCCGAGTGGGTGTGCAATTTCATCAAGTACATGCGTGACAACAACATCCGATACTTTGATGCTCAGGAAGACGCAGAGGCCAAGTTCGGTGAACACATCAACGAGCTTTCGGCCAAGACGCTCTTCCATGAATCGCATGGTTGGTATATGGGCCGAAACATTCCTGGCAAGCCGGTCCAGGCTTTGAACTTTACCGTAAGCACCATTACCCTCCCCCTTCTCTTTCTTTGCTCCATCGTGCGCAATAGACTTGCTGACGAGCTTCAATTTATGTCTATGTCCAAACAACAGGGCGGCATCCCGATGTACGTTCGCGAGCTGGTCGAGTGCCGACAGGCCGGATACGCCGGCTACGACCTCGTCAAGGCTTAGAAGATAGCATACCCTTCCATCTTGCAGTCCGTTCGAAGTTTTCTATAGTCTTGGGTTTCATTGTTTCGTATCAGTCCCGTGTTTCTCGTCAATTGAAAGTTGCAATGCACTCGCTGTTACGTGTGAGTCGGAAGTTCCTTGTCAATCGAAAGTCTCAACCCACTCACTACAATGTCTGAGCTCACAATCTCAATGAGGTTTCCTCCCAGTCAACATTGCAAGATCTCATCCGAAAGAAAACTGAATGCATTGGAACGAACAAAACCAAATGTACCTGTATGCTGAGACTGTGTAAAGGAATGCAAGAGATGGTTGCGGCTGTTGCTTATCTAGCTTAGCAGCCCTGGAGACGGTTCCTTGGGATCTTTGACTTGGGAAACTCAGTAATGTTGCGGTTGTAGTAAAATTCCTTGTTGTTTTCGATGTACTCGTAGGTAGGTCGGTTGGGAGGATCGCAACCAACGCGGTCTGGCTGATCGTCGCGCTGGTATACTCGAACGTAGTCGACGTACATGTGTGCTGGGAATTCGAGAAGAGTCCAATCAGGAACCTGGAAAGATTCCGAGATGGCAACGTTCAAAATGAGGAACATTGGCTCGGTAGGAACGAGACGCTGGCTGACGTCAAGCTCGGGAACTGGTCCAATCGCTTGTCCGTACAGCGTCCAGGTGGGTTGACCGTCCATGTACCAAGTGACATAAGCATCGCCGTTCTCGTTCCAGTCGGGAGCATACTCGACACCGAAGGTGACGTATCGTCCGCCGACGGTGTGTTCGTACGCGATGTCGGGAACTTGACTGAGAGCAGAAACGGCTTCCTGGATAGCACCACCCTTGTAGTCGTTAAGCTGTGTGTTGGCATCCCAAATGCGGACGTCACCATCTGCCGAGCTGTTTCCGTAGTAGTAGTCGACGTCGAATGGTGCCATTTGCAGAGATTGCGAAGTTTCACCATGTCCGCCGGCAACGTTGATCTTGGCTTCGAGAATATCCAACTCGGGCGCGGAACGGGCGACATTACGGTTAGGACCAGGGTGCTCGGTACCGGGGCAGTTGCACGAGGTGAAACGCATACCGGGAAGCCAAGAGAGCTCGTAGTTGTAGCCTTGAGAGAAGAGGCCCTGTGCGTCGAGGGCCTTGGGAGGACCGGTACCGTTGACCCAAGTCTGGTTGGGCAGCGCACCTGTGTCACAGGCATTATAAGAGTAAGGCCACATGCCTTCGTTGGTGGCACCGTATCCTGGGCGACCAAGGTTACCTTGTGTCCACATACCGGGCCACTGTTGGGAAGAATCAAGAAGCAGAGAGGGCAGGGAAGAAGATTGTTAGTTTCAACTTGGAATGTAGAAATCAACCTCGAATGTCGCAAGCGCTCTAGTACGGTACTTACCAAACCTGGGGCAGTATGGGAGCCGGGAAGACGGGCGGAGATTTCGTAGTAGGCGCCTTGGAAGCAAACCTTGTTCCAACTCTGAACCATACCAGAGCGGAAGTTCTTGTTGTTGGTCTCACGCTCCTCGACTGCAATGACAAGAGCACCACCGGTAGTGTTGACAGCCTCGGGCGAGTACCACTCATAATCGCCGGTACCCCAGTACCAGAGATCGACGGCTTCCCAGTAGGGGTCATCTCCTGGCCAGAAGGAACGACCCTCCTTCTCGAACTCATCGGAGAAGACAAGGTGCCAGGCGGTGCCATCGACGGGTGAAGTGCGGCGCATAGCGGACTCTGGAGTGTCGGGATCGATCAAACCACGCTGTGTTAATGCTGTGAGACGCTGGGCACTCTGAGGGTTAATGTCGATGGTGTCGAACACTTTGCTGAGGACGACTACTAATGGGTAACCCAAGAAGAGTGCCAGAAGACCCATGGTGAGCAGGATAAGGGTGAAGGCGTTGAGAAGACCTCGGGTGCTGATACATGAGCCCGAGTGCTTGTCAAGGCCTTTGTCAGAGTAGAGGTAGTCCTCTTCGTCGTCATCATCAGCGAGAAGAGGTGCTGCTGGAGTTGTTCTCGCGTTGCCGTATCCTGGTGCTTGTGAGTAGCCACCTTGTTGACGGGACATGGTATAATACTTTTGTGAGGAAGAGCTGCTGCCTGAGTCGGTCTGCACGGATGGCTGTGACGAGGTCATGCTGGGCGGGTTGTCGGCCCTGTGATAGGCTGCTGCTGACCTGTTGGCCATTGTGAGCGGGTTCGGTGACGGTCACTGAATGTCAGGGCTTCTGATCCGTATATATGTCAAGTCAGCGAAGAGGAGATTCTGGGATGCCTTGTCCGTGTTGGTGTTGAGGGTCGTGGTGGGAAAGGAAGGGAAGGGAAGGGGAAGAAGTGTTGGTCGGAAGGTGAAGTTGGTTGCCCAAGAGATGTGGATGTGGAAAGGAAAGAGACCACTAGCCGCTGTTTGGAGCGGGATGAAAGCGAATGTTGGGCGGAAAGTGAGAGATAGAGCTAGGATGTTGAGCGCAAGACGCGTTCACACCAAGAGGGACGTTGGGTCTGACGAGTATGTAAGTGTGTACTGTGTATGTGTGTTGGCAAGTCAATGGTAGAGTGACAGGCAGACAAGCAGACAAGCCACGGAAGGCCTGAAAAGTAAAAGGAGAAGGATCGACGAGGGACACAGGAAAGTCTTGGCTCAAGTTTCGTTTGCTTGAGCACAGCCTCTGCAGTCATATCTCGACTTGCTTTCCATCTCGCTATCTATCTGACAAGCAGCTTCACTCACCCGACACTTGCTCCTTGCAAACGGCATCACACACACACACACACACACACACACACACACACATGTTCAATCTCGTACGATAATACCACACGAGATCAAAGCGATTGTTTCATCTTGACGATCGGAAGAGCCGTTTTGCTTTGTGATCTGGCGGCCTATCCGCTTCGGCGTCTCGCTTTGGTGTCAGAAAGTGCCATCTTTCTCCACAGTGCGAGATCCATGCAGGTGAGGGTCAATCGAAATTTGATGCCAAGCAAATTTGGCGAGTGCCAAGACTGGAAACAGTAGCACACTAGAACAGTGTTCTTCGGCATTTCAGGCTTCTCAAATAGCGCCTCTGGCAAGGGCAAGGGCAAGGGCGCTACGCTAACCTCACACGAGGCAGCGCAGAACAACAACCAGCTGAAACTGACATTCGGTACAGATACTGCCAAGATCCTTGGTCCTACAGTCAGAGCTGTCTCCCTCCACAACGGAACATGCGATCCACTTGGAGTCGATTCATCGTCTGAGCCGGTGCCCCCCCCAACCCCCCCCCCCTTCTACCCCCTGTCTGTCCACGCACGACTCTGCCAATTTCAGCTGTTTGGAAACTTTCGTGTAAGGATGTCACATTCGGACACGTTAGGCCATAGGCTGTGATAATCATCCTTGTGTGCTTCTATCGTGAGACTTGCTCGTTTCCAGAATCAACTGCTGGCCTGACCTCGCATCGCTTCTCCTCACCACTACCACTACTGCCACCACTACCACCACTACCACCACTACCACCACTACCACCACCATCTCACAGCTACTATCTGGCACCCAGTATCTCTTCGCAACTCGGCTTCAGTCGGGCAGTGATAGCGAAAGGCATCAGCGATAGCATTTGGCCGCAAAGAAAACAGCAACAGCTTACACAGCATATCTCAGAATGCAGTTGCTTGTCGCCAGTTTAGCTTTAGTTTGGATTTGCGCATTCAGCTTGGTCGAGGCAGGTCGTCAGCGATATGCAGTACTCGCAGCTGGTGACGAACCCATGCTTCAGGGCACTTGGTCTTCCGGTTCCGGCAGAGTCGTCACAGGCGCAGGCTTCTTCAACCCTCGAACAAGGTCTTTCACTCCGCCAGCAGTGCCCGGTCAAGCTTACAGTTTCACCCGTGATGGTTACTGGGAGTTTGCCAAGTACCGTGTGACACCAAATCGTAAGTGTCCTTTCAAAGCAGTGAGACTCTTGTGCAAGCCTTTTGCTAACGCTCTTCCACATGTTTCGCTTTTCATTCCAACAGCAAGGAAACCCGAATGCATCCAAAGCCAGCTGATCTGGCAACACGGCAGCTACGCTCTTCATACCAACGGTACTCTCCATCTCTGGCCTATCCCCCGTGAAGGCGCTCAGCTTCTCACCTCGAGTTGTCCAGGAGGCAGTCCACCAGAGGAGATGTACGACGTATCTGAAGAGTACACCATGGTCGACACCTGGTCCGATCTTCACCACGGCGTCAACTCGCAAGCTTTGCGTTTGACCGACGCCTGGGGTAACAGGTCGCCAAGCTTGTACAAGATCTACGATCCTCCCATGATGCTTCCCACTGACAACCTTTACCTCGAGTACATTGGCATTCCCTAAACTGGCTCGATGCTCATTCTTCTAATAGACAATACCTTTTTCCATCACAGTTCTGAGACAAGCAGCGACTGAAGGCGGATATGCGAACGTGATGCGTTGTGAAGAAGGTCTGGTAGAGATGAAATGTTCCCGAACGGTTGAGTGGGTTGCAATGTGCTGATTCTATGATTACAGAGACGGAAGGAGAGAAAGGAAAGCCCAAGTTGTCCATGAGTGCAGAATGAAGGTGGGGCCTGCTTGCGAACGAACGAAAGAGAGACAAACAAGCAAGATACCTGGGTTGATGTGGAGGGGTGGAGGAATGCTCTCAGCAGCCAGTCAACTTGTTCTTAGGCCAAGTAAACTTGTCGCGTGGGAACTGTGTGAGGTTGTTGTTGTAGTAAATCTCTTGGTGTTTTTTGATGAAGTCGGCTGTGGGATGATCGACGGGATCGCAAGTGATTAAATCAGCTTGACCGTCTTTCTGGTAGACTCGAACATAGTCGATCGCCATGAAAGCCGGGAATGTGATGCCTCCTTTGTCAAAGTTGACACGCTGGAAACCGTCCGAGATGGCCAAGTTCATAACGATGGCCATCGGTTCGACAGGGATGATGCGCTGTCCGATGTCGAGTTCCTTGCGCGGTGGGAAGGCCTTAGGGTTGACACTCCAAGAAGGCTTGCCGTCCACGTACCAGGTCATGGATCCACTTCCATCATAGTTAAAGTCAGGCGAAAACTCGACTCCGTATTTGATGTACTGGTTGCTGGTCAAGTTGAAGCCACGATCGGGCACTTGAGTAACCGACGAAACAGCTTCTTGGATCTGGCCACCTGTGTAGGTGTTGAACTCGGTGACATCGCTGTTGTAGATGGTCGCATCGGCGCTTGTGTTTCCCCAAGCGTAAGCATCATCGAAAGGCGCAACCTGAAGCGACTGGGACGCGTACGAGTGAGTTTCGCCATCCTTGTACTGCACCTGTACCTCGAAGATGTCAATTTCGGGCGCGGATCGAGCGACGTTGTTGTTGGGGCCGGGATGTTCCTCGCCAGAGCAAGTGCAAGACGAGTAGCGCATGCCTGGGAGGTAGGAAAGATCGCCGTTGTATGCATACGTGCCCTTTGAGTTGATGGCAAGGTAAGGGCCGGTGCCGTTGACAAACGTCTGGTTGGGCAAAATACCAGTGTCGCACGAGTTGTACGAGTAGGGCCAGGTGCCTTCAGTGGAGGCAAGATAACCGGGGCGGCCGAGGTTGCCCATCAGCCAAACGGCGGGCCAGTAACCACTGGTGCTGGGACCACCTGGAAGCTTGACACTGAACTCGATGTAGCCACCCTGGAAGCAAAACTTGTTCCAAGACTGAACCATACCTGATCGGAAGTTCTTGTTGTGAAGCTCGTGCTCCTCGAGCGCGATGACCAGAGCTCCGTTGGTGGTGTTGACAGCTTCGGGCGAGTACCACTCGAAGTCGCCAGTACCCGAGTACCAAAGGTCAACAGCCTCCCAGTAGGGGTCGTCTCCTGGCCAGAAAGTCCTTCCTTCGACCTCGAACTCGTCACTGAAGACAAGATGGTAGGATGACTCGTCATATCCGCTTGTCCACTTGATAGCGCTTTGAGGAGTGTCGGAATCGATCAGAGAGACAATGTCGAGGGCGGGTACCTGACCGGAACCGTTGGTACCACCAAGACCAAAGGCGCCCTTTGTGTCATTGTCATACATGTTCTTGACCTTGATGAGAACGGGATAGCCAAGGAAGAGCATGAGCAAGCTAAGAGCGAGCAAGGTGAGGGTGAAAATATTGAGGAAACCTCGCAGATTCCAGCTGTGCGATGAAGAGTCCCATTTGGTGTCAATTGAATGAAGGTAGTCATCCTCTTCTTCTGTCATTGCGCTGTTGGCAAGTTGATACTTTGCAGCGCCAGGGTTCGGGTTGGGGCCAGAGAAAATGAGATTCTCATGCTGATAGGAGCTGCTACCATGTATGCTGGTGGAGGAGCTGGAAGGTGGACTGTTGGATGAGACGCCAGCGCCGTAGGGAACAGGCATTGTGATGGATGAAAGAGCAGATGCTCGAGCTATACTTGGTGCAGGTGTGAGCTTCTCTTGGCGAGGAAGAGGGAGAGAAGGCGGAAGAGGAAGCTACACTAACCCTAACCCCAAAGAAGTCGAGGTCGCGAAAGTCAAACAGCGCGATGAGGTGCGATAGACGTAGATGAAGTCACACTGATTGTGTCGCTGGGCGGGATGGAAGCACGAGAAAGGTTGGGTTGAGAAACAAGGGTGAACGTAGGACAGTGATAGCAAACGGTGCAACAGGGAAGGGCTCAACGTTGTCAAAGCTTGCGCGTGTGAGCCAAAAAGGGTCCTCGAAGGCTCGTTTGCCTACTGTGCCAAGTATAAGCTATGTGAGCGACGACAAGGATGTCACACTGTGAGCACAGCCAAGTCCGGCAACGAACTGCGTGTGGGCTGTGTCTAAGTTCTGTGTTCTTACACAATACAGGGCTCATGCTGGCCAAAAAGAAAAAAGAAAAGAAAAAAGTGCGCTTTGAAACGGCAGAGAGAAGCCAAAGTCGATCTTCTGAAACGTCACATTTGGCTGCATGAAACTTATGTGACACTCCCTCGGAACTCCTAAGCGCAGTGTACGGTAGATCGACCAAGCAAAGTGTTGCCGCGGTGAAACGCTGCGAAATTGCTGTTCCGCTTCAGACCAGCGGTTCGTGAAAGAGTCCGACGGTTCGATGCATTCCACGGCTGCACAGCCGAAGAAGAAAAAAGAAAAAAGGAAAAAAAGAAAAAAAGAAAAAAAGAAAAAAAGAAAAAAAGAAAAAAAGAAAAAAAAGAAAAAAAAAAGAAAAAAAAGAAAAAAAACTAAAAGGAAAAAGGAAAAAGGAAAGAAAGAAAAAAGCATGCAATCATTCTGCTTTTACAGTATTCCAGCATTTCTCTCGAAAATTTCTCCTGAAAATCACATGAAGTCGGCGACATGCATCTCCTGATCAGCAACCGATCTGCAACACAATCGCATCGTTACCGAGGACAGCCGGCCTTGATTTCATCAGCTTGTGTCTCTGAACAAGTGAAGCGTTGTACCGTAAGTTAGCAAGCAGATGTCTAGTGCAATGGCCTTACACAGAGTTGCGCGCTTTGGCCTCTGTTTCAAGTGCGAGGCTTGAGCAGACACAGAAGGGAGCAACGACAAAGGAGCTAAAAGCAGCAAGGGAAAAATAATAATATTATTATTAATATTAATAAAAATAAAAATAAAAATGGGGCACCATGGCCCTCACACCGTCATAGCGCAGATGCATTTGAGATTTCATGCCTTCATTGGCACCAGATCACTCGAAGCTTGACGGATCGGGGTTCGAAATTTGGACCAGTTGTTGACCCGCCTGCACTATATTCGTGCCGGCCAGCCCGATCCAAGCAGCATTAATAAAGCAACCGCTGCGAGATCGATCTCTTTACAGAGTCTCGGCATTGGTTGCATCAGTCATCAAACCGCCGGTTACGCCTTGTGCTGTTGCCCAATCAAGCTTCTTGAATGCCTTCACTCTCTGGGCCCCACATCTCGGGCCTTTGCGCGTGCACCCTGTCGGCAGCGTTGGCCTCAGAGAAAGAGTAAGAGAACAACACTTACGCCAAAGGGTCCTTGTTCCTGTAGAGCCGCTTGTCGCAGCTAGAGAGCTGATTCTATGGAAAATGGAAGTCCTGCCCATCAACTTCTTGTAGTCGAAAGACACGCACACAGTGTGCTCCCTGTGATAGCTCAATCGCAGAGAGAGTTCTTCCATTGAGCGTTGAGAGCTACAAATGTAGGTCAAAGGAAAGAATCGTCCAACAAGGGCTCACTGTACCAAGTAAGCAGCACAATCACTTCACAAACCAGCATCCTTGTGTGCCATCTCGCTTACTTTGAGAGATCTGCCCGATCGTGAGGATCAACTTGGAATTGCAAAATTCAAAATTCTGCATCGCAAAAGGGTGATGACGGTCATTTCCTCTTCGGGGCATGCGGGAGTGGAGTTGGATGGAAGCAAACCGTTCTTGACGACTGTTTAAAAGACGAGGAAGTTCATTGATTCATCAGGAGTCTCGTCACCTTCCCCTGGCGAGATGGCTTCTCTTGACCAGCAAAGGCAGGCACGTTTCGTGTGAGAAGTTCTAGACCGGGCGTCAGCCATAGCTTATCGTGGACATGCTTCGCTGCACGTCATCTACCGCGATTTTTGAATTTGAATGAAAGCACGTGCATCACCTTTTCCCTCCTCATTCTTTCTTTCCTTCGCTTCCACTCCAGAGTTCTCGAGAGCGCAAATCCAGGATGGGAGGGTGTTGCCTGATGAGATCGCGGTGCAGTTGAACAAGTTCAAGATGAGCTATCATGTTGATGAGAGACAAACACATCTAGTCGCCTCACCTCAACCGAGTGATGAGATTCGGAGGCTTCCCGACGATCAGTTAGCAGTCGGAGAGGCTGAAACTGAAAATGCTCAAGAAGAGAGCAAGCAAGTGATGGCCGAGCAGCAGCAGCAGCAGTCAACGATTTGGGGGTCATTTTGCTCATCTTTACGCTTTTCATGACATAGGGGCAGGGGGCGGGGATTAGGGTTAAAGAATAAAATAAAATAATATTGCAAGTGCGGGCGTAGAATGCCGCCGTGTCTGTCTGTCTGTCTGTCATTCAGTCAAAACTAAGGAGAGTTCAGCTCGCAGCTGACGTCAAAGTAGCTCGCTCGCTTAATCAACTCGGCCTTACAACCAACCAATTTTGTGAGGGAAGCGAAATTCGAATCTCGCCTCCCCCATCCTCGACTCTCAACTGCTTGGCAACAGCGGCGGTTGCGCTTTACGATCCATTTGAATTGCAAAGCGGTGTTGCCGTTGTTGCTGTTGTTGCCGTTGTTGCCGTTGTTGCCGTTGTTGCCGTTGTTGCCGTTGTTGCAACGTTGATGTTGAATGCGTTTGGAGAGAGAGAAAACTGGGGTTCGATCTGCATTTTGTTCAAGCGAGGCGAACGACGGTTGGATTCCTTGTTCCAACGTCGGCCCATCCGAACCAAATGATGGCAGAGCCTCCTCTAGAACTTTGAGAGTCTCTGATTGTGGCTTGGGTTCGCATGGGCCAACGGTAACTCTTATCAACCAAGTCGAGCGTAGAGAAGACCCAGTCGGCTCCTTCCGATGACAAGGATGGCGGAAAAGGAGACTCATCGTCGACGCTCGTCATTGGTCCTTTCCCTCACTACATTGCTATCTATATTGAGCGACAAGATAGGGGGTCTGAACCCTTGCCTGCGACTCTGTTCTTCTTCTGGGCCTTGCTCGATAGGCCAAGTGAATCGTGGGATCGCCTCTTCTTCTATTAGCGACGCTCCTTCTCGTAGCGACGGTGTAGTGCAGTTGCGTGATTGCGCAGCAGCATCTTCTTTGGCACCGGCTCTTCCGATTCCCTACTTACCCTGACTTTTTCCTCTCATCCCGTCTGCCTTGTGCCTTCTGCTGCTTCCCCAAGGCTGCTTGTCCACTATCCTCGCTCAACAGCTTGGCTTGACCCCGAACCATCATCTCATATCCTATTCTCACCGCCGTCAAATGGCTGCTCTAACAAGATTCTCCTTTGTCGCCTCGACGTAGCTCTCATCTCCGATCCGACTGCCTCGTAGCTATCACATCAGCTTTTCGGATCACCGACAGATCAATCCGCTCAAGACGACTTGTCGTCATGTCGGAAACACAGCAACGCCTCGAGAGCGGCTCTGCGTTCTCCCATCTCTCTTTCGCCGCGGCAAGCTCCTTACCGCCGCTCTCTCGAATCTCACCACCAAGCTCTCCAGACGAGAACTCTTCTACCAAGGGCTCTGCCGACTCACCATATCTCGACTTGCAAGGTCCCAAGTCACAAGAGGGTATGCCCTTCAACGATTTTGTCATCGAAAATGACCAACTGCACGACTACGAGGCCCAGAATCCCATCAAGCGTCACTTTGACCCTCGAGTCGTTCTCGACCTGACCGCCATGTCCATTCTGATTGCTGGCATCCTCACACTCTTCCTCGGCTATCCACTCATCGAGTTTGGCGGTCTAGCTCGCAGCAAAGCCAACAAAGGCGGCTTCAACCTCGGCGGCACCAACGCTTCCGGACAAGTGCCAAACATGCACAATATGCGAATGTCGCTGATTGACCCGGACACCCCGCAAGAAGTACGCTCAAAGATGTCCGTCGACGGATCGCAACAGATGCAGCTCGTATTCAGTGACGAGTTCAACACCGATGGTCGATCCTTCTACCCCGGCGACGACCCCTTCTGGACAGCAGTCGACCTTTGGCCTTGGCCAACAGGCGATTACGAGTGGTACAGTCCCGAAGCCCTCACCACCGCCAACGGCAACTTGGTCATCACCGCCGATCAGGTCGAGACCAACAACCTCAACTTTCGCAGTGGTCAAATCACCACTTGGAACCAGTTCTGCTTCACAGGTGGATACATTGAAACACGAATCCAACTTCCCGGAAGCAGCTCCATTTCCGGTTGGTGGCCAGCAGTATGGACTATGGGCAACCTTGGTAGAGCCAACTACGGTGCAACAACGCAAGGCACATGGCCATATGCATACAGCTCTTGCGATATCGGAACACTCAGAAACCAGACCGACCCTGATGGCCTCGGCCCTGTAGGTGCCCTCAGGAGTGGTGACACCGTCTTCAACAACAAGTACGACACCACATCCATCAGCTGGCAGCCTGGTCAACGTCTCTCTGCCTGCACATGTCCGGGCGAGGACCACCCGGGACCAAAGGACTCGAACGGCAACTTTGTCGGTCGTGCAGCACCTGAAATCGACGTCATCGAAGCACAGGTTGGTAATGGCAGAGGCGGTGTCTCCCAATCCGGTCAGTGGATGCCTGCAAACTACGGCTACCAACTCATCAATACCACTGGCACAGAGTACGAATTCTTCCAGCCAACAGTGAAGCTCAACGAGTATCAAGGAAACGTATTGCAGCAGTCGGCCAGTGGTGTCGCCGACACGCTCCAGACGGCATACCAGTACAGCGGTGGCGACTTCTCCGTCTACGGTTTCCAATACAAGCCTGGCTATGACGGCTACATCCACTGGATCAACAACGGCCGACGCTCATGGTCGCTCTACTCGGGCGCTCTTGCAGCTGATCCACGCGTCGGCATCGATCGCAGACCAGTGCCACAAGAGCCCATGTACATCCTCATCAACCTGGCCATCTCGTCTGGGTTCGGCTTCATCGATTGGGAACATCTACGATTCCCAGGCAAGATGCTCATCGATTACGTTCGAGTCTACCAGCCAGAAGGTCAAACAAATATCGGATGTGATCCCGAAGACTTCCCCACCCAAGACTACATCAACCGTCACATTGAAGCTTATACCAACCCCAACTTGACCATCTGGGGTGGAACAGCCAAACAGGGCGGATACCAGCAAAACTGGCCCAGGAATAGGCTCTACCCTGACGGCTGCACAAATCCTCCATCCAAATTCCCAGGTCCTAACCCCGCGGTATAGTTCTGAAACTCATGTCATCGTCATCCATGGACACTTTCCAGCATTCTCATTGGCCGCCCGGCGCCGATTCTGTCGCCACCCCCTTTTTTATTTTTATTTTTCGTCTCGCATCTTACTGTTCTTTTATACATTCTTTTGATGACAAGTCGAGTCTTGCCGGCTACTGTTCTATTCTCTTTGCCAATCTCGGCAAAACGTTCCGAGATTCTCTCCCAAGCCAAACCATTGTGTGAATTTACTGTGCGCGAATGAGTTCTGCTTGCAAGCCGTCGGATCATGCGCTGTCACCCTGAAACTCAGCATCGACACAGTCAAAGGAAGCGCACAGTCTGATCTCCAAACGCAAACAAGAGTGAGTTGTGGTGAACGAATCAAGTCTATGCGAAAACACGAGTACAAAAACAAACGAACAAAATTGAATCCTAGTTTGGAGGCGAGCCTCTTACTTCTTCTCGGTCTGCTTCTTGCGGTAAGCCTCCTGCATCTCCTTTTGAATGTTCATCATGACGGGCGTGTGGCACTTGTACTCCATCGAGAATTCACCCTTACCCTGCGTCAAGCCACGAAGCTGCGAACTGTAGCCGAACATGTCGTTGAGCGAAACTTCAGCAGTGAGCGTGAACTCGTCTTCCCTGATCTCGGTGTCGGAAATGGTACCCTTCCTCTGATTGAGTGCGCCAATGACAGCTCCCTGGAATTCGATGGGTGCAACGACTTCGACCGTCATCTTTGGCTCGAGAATGACAGCGTTGGCCTTCTGGTAGGCCTCGCGGAAGGCACCAGCAGTGGCGAGACGGAAAGCAAGTTCGGACGAATCGACACTATGCGCAGCACCATCCTCCAAAACGAAGCGGACACCAGTGACGGCGTGACCTGAGAGAGCACCTTTCTCGAGAGCATCGTAGAATCCCTTTTCACAAGCAGCAATGTACCCGTTGGGGATAGATCCACCGACGACGCGGTTCTCGAAAGCAGTGTCGACACCAGTCTCGGGATCGACCTCCATGGGCTCGATGTAACCCATGACTCGACCGAACTGACCAGCACCACCAGTCTGCTTCTTGTGTGTGTAGGCAAATGACGCTTTCTTCTCGACGGTTTCGCGGAAAGCAACGCGAGGCTTGCCTGTGGTGCAGGGCACGTTGTATTCTCGTCGCATTCGCTCAACGTAGATTTCGAGGTGCAGCTCACCCATACCGGAGATGATGGTCTCGTTGGACTCCTTGTCAACATGGACACGGAAAGTGGGGTCCTCCTTCTGGAATCGGTTGAGTGCACGAGAGAAGTTTTGCGACTCCTTACCCTCGGGTGTGATGGCAAGCGAGATGACGGGCTCGGGAACGAACATGCTTGTCATGCTGAGCTGAGTGGTTCCGTCAGTGAAAGTATCGCCAGACGAGCATTCGACACCAAACATGGCGCAGATCTCACCAGCTCCGATCTCGTCAACGTCTTCCATGTCGTTCGAGTGCATGCGTACCAATCGGGGCACCTTGACCTTCTTGCCTGTACGAGCGTTGAAGATGAGATTGCCACGCTTCAGGGTGCCCTGGTAGACGCGCATATACGTCAGCTGGCCGTACTTGCCTTCTTCCAGCTTGAAAGCGAGACCGACCAGCGGTGCCTCGGAGGCGGGCGAGAGGGGCAGAACAGGTGGTGCGGCGTTCTTGCGAGCTTCAGCAGCAGCCTCTTCGTCCTCGCCAGCGGCCTTGGCAGCCTTCTCGGCAGCCTTCTTGGTGGCGGAAGCGCTCATATCCATAGCAGTAGCGGGAACCTCGGCAGGGTTGGGAAGATAGGAGCAAACACCGTCGAGCATGGCCTGGACACCCTTGTTCTTGATAGCAGAGCCAAGGAAGACGGGCGAGAACTTGCACTGGATGGTTGTGCGGCGGATGGCAGCAGCAAGCTCCTCGATGGTAGGCTCACGCTCTTCGATAAAGATCTCGGTCATCTCGTCGTCGACCTCGGCGAGCTGCTCGATGAGCTCGGCACGCTTCTCCTTTGCAAGCTCGAGGTACTCTGCTGGGATCTCGTCGGTCTCTCGGATTTCGATACCCTTAGGACCCTCGTTGTAGACGGCCTTCCATCGAATGAGGTCAATGACACCGTTGAAGTCGTCCTCAGCACCGATAGGGACCTGGACAGCAGCAGCCGGCATCTTGAGCTTGTTGCGGATCTGACCAATGACACGCCACGGGTTGGCACCGGCACGGTCCATCTTGTTGATAAAGCTGATACGGGGAACCGAGTATCGTCGCATCTGTCGATCTACGGTGATGGTCTGTGACTGAACACCGGAGACAGCACAAAGTACAAGGACGGCACCATCAAGAACTCGCAACGCACGCTCGACTTCGATTGTGAAGTCTACGTGGCCTGGGGTGTCGATAATGTTGATGTGAAAGTCCTCCTTCTTTGCCATCAAATCCTTGCTGTCGACGTCAGCGGCATCACCACTGACACTGGCCTTCTCAGTAGGTGGAGTAGCCTTCCAGCTGCAGTAAGTAGCAGCACTCTGAATAGTGATTCCCTTTTCGCGCTCGAGCTCCATGTGATCCATCTTGGCACCAACGGCGTCCCTTCCCCTGACCTCGTGGATATCTTTGATTCGACCAGTGTAGAAGAGAACACGTTCTGTCAACGTGGTCTTACCACTGTCGATATGTGCTGAGATGCCGACATTGCGCTGTCGAACAAGACGACCAAGATCGGCCTCGGTGAGATTGGCCATGGGTTGATGTGAGCCGTCGTGTGCTGCCTGGGCGGTGGCATCGTGTGCTGGAGGAGCCTTGACGGCAGCCGCAGCTGCTGCGCTACGGCGAGTTGAGATGCTGAAATTGCGGAATGATGTCGGTGTGCGGCTAAAGGGCGCAGCAGCAACAGCGATGCGAACAGAGGCATTAGGTAGTGCAGTGGTTCGCAAGTTCTGCCTGGCCAGCTGTCGAGCCAACGAACGAGCGGCGACAACTCGTGGAATGGCCACCATGATGTTATAGGAGGGTCGAGCTAAGACCTGCTAGCGCGACGCTGCAGCGAGTTGGATGATGATGATGATGATAGGAGAGACGAAGCTGAGATGACGATTAGGAGCAGTGTTGGTCAAGGTTGTGGTGTTCAAACGTGTCTGCTCTCTTCGCGATCGGGTAAGCATCCTCTGGCTGAGCTGTTCTGCGGTCTGCTGTACGTTTTTTGTTGTTTTCAAAGCTCGGCTGCAACCCTTTCTTCCAAAAATCTCAAATTTTTCTGTAGTGTCGGAAAAAACCGCTTTCCCTTGCAGTTCCGAGATCGGTTGAGATCGGTCGAGATAAATCGAGATCGGGAACGGTTACTTTTCGCGAAGGAGATCTTCGATCCACGTCTCCTCACAGACACACAACAGTGAAATCACATGACTGCATAATCATACTCTAACATATCCGCAAACCTCGCTCAGCGTCGCCACCTGTCAACACCCACCAACGCTCGTCATCGCCCACCAACGACCCCTATCTCATTCAACAATGGCACGCAGTCATACGTGTCACCTCATCTACTCACGCACACATAGACCGACCGTAGAAGCACATATACTCCTGATATCACTTTGTACTTAGTTCTCCTGGAGGCCAACGATTACGATCTGCCCTATCGCTCGCTGACCGTGCATTCCTCAACAACAACTTCACCCAAACAAGTGAAATTACATGACCTCAATTTCGCTGTAACATTTCCGCCAACCTTGCTCACCATCGTTACTCATCATCACCCACCACCGTTGCTCAGATCTATGTCAACACCCTCCTGTTCCTATTGTGCTATCACGCAACGTTCTGCATCGCTTCATTCCACACACGCACACACTGGTCATCGGGAGAGGTATATATGCCTCTCATTGCTTTGTACTTAGTTACTCTACATATCATTTGCAATTGCTATCCGTTTTCGCCGCTCTTCGCTTGTACATTCCTCAACAGCACGTTCCGCAATAACAGGCGGCAGACAAGGATGGAGCATGATCATCTTTTCGTGTAGCTAGTGTAACATGGATCGCTTGTCATCAGCTGCTCTTCTGCGCAGCTTGACTCTCGCCATTCGCCGACGTGCTGGAATGGTCAGCATGCGGCTCTTGCAGCGCTCCCAAAAGGAGGCTCGTGTACTCTTGGCTGTAGCACCAGGCAGGATTGTCGCCACGCACCCAGATCACCAGCGAGCGAAGCTGCTCCCGACTTAGCACCTTCGATGCCGCTTTATCGTAACTATTCACTGCCTCTGCGCGCCAAAGCAGCGTACCACAGAATGTTGCGTTGTGCGTGGCTCCTTGCAAGATCCATCGCCTTGTCTCCTGCAAGGCATTTGTGCTGTTCGTGGCAGGTCGTAGCTGCAGCCGTGGCAAGTTGCGAGTACCATTGGGCTGCAGACCTGCAAGCTGGCCTTGTGAGGATTGCCGGCTATCCTCGACCGAGTTGCGCTGCGCGTGAATTGTCTCGCGTCGAGGTCCAGGCCATCGTACTTCTCCGATAAGACTGGACCATCTTGGTCTTAGATGTGCAGCTCGCAGCCCTCCTATCGACGGCAATCCTTCGGCGCCGCCGTTACCCGCCGATATGGATCCTCGCCAGTCCGAATATACCTCACAGCTTGCTTCCCGCTCGCGATAGATTCCTGCAAGACCAAGATATTGGAATTTGCGATGCCAGAATCGCACTCGCATCCAATCTTCTTCAGTATCGAGCCCGTCGTCTTGCTTGACGCCGTCCTTGACTCTGTCATTTAGCGTGGTATCCTTGCCCCCATTGGGCTCTGATCCGCTTCCTTGACCCACGCCGAGTAAGCTCGTCCAGACTTGACGGATTGGCACCAGCTCTTCGCACCGCGATGCGGAATTTTCGGCGACCTGCCTTGGAGGCACACCCTCTTCGTTCAATAGCTTGCTTGTACCTACCAAGATCAGCAGCGACATGAACACTGCATGAGCCGAAGCAGGACCGAGCCTTTCGGTAGCAGAGCCTTTCTTTGCCGCACAGAGTAGCGTCAAGATCGTACCGGCGTGGACCAGCGCTCTTCTGCAGTAGGGAGAATCGACCCATTTCCGGAGCAAGAACGAGATCCTCTGGCGTCGATCTTTATCCGTAGCGACGGCGCGCTTGCGTGCGTCGAGGTAGAAGCATAGCGAGTGCAGAGGAACACAAAGGGAGAGGAAGGTTGCTTGCCATCGGATCGTTGCTTGATAGGCGTCGTCGGTGATTTTGAGTCCAAGCTTCGAAGCGGCCGCGCCACTTCTCCGACATACATCGTTTCCGCCACTGAACATTTCGGACCAGTTCATTAAAGCATGGGCTACTTGAGTGGCATGCAAAGTGCGTCCAATACGCCATCCAGGTAGGTCTGCCAGGCTTGCGGTCTCGACGTCAAATTCGTTATCGTCAATGGCCAGTTGCTCGGGCAAAGCTGCAGCGCCCCACGCCGGGGTCTGATACCAACCACTGTCGGTCATCCATGCACCATGCACGGATTCGAGCAACGCCAACATGTGCAACTGAGACACGGTGCGAGTCTCTGGCTCAGCAGCATTGCTCTCTGAATCCTCGGCCTGCGATTGTGGCCGGCTCGAGAATTCTGATGCAGTTGAACTATCGGCACCTTCGACGAAAGGCGTCGGTCTCGCGATTCGATCCTGGTTCTGTTGGTCGCTGAGGGGGCGGAAAGGCTTGAAGGTGGTTGCTGCGCGGTTTTGTGAGCCAAAATCGAACGATGAACGGAAGCGCGGATATGTCTTGGGCTCATACAGATGAGCGACGTGCGGTTTTAGCAATTGCTCCGTAAGACATGTGGCGATGGAGATAGGTTGCCCGTCGCGAAAGGCCATGTCGGCCCCTTTAGATGAAGGTAACGAAGCACTGCCGGCCAAGCGCGTGGCCCAGACTTTGGGCGGCCAGGCGAGAAACACGGCGTCAGGACAGGGCTCGTAGACATGCGCAAACAGAAATTGGCAGCGAGGACCATCTGAGCGAGACGACAATCTGACCTTGAGTGGCGAGAAGTAGCTTGAGGATTGCGAATCTACGATAGCTCCATAGATTCTGGATCGTTTGCGGCTCTCATGATCATACCAGCGAGACCATAGCTCGAAGAGCTCTTCCTCGGGCAACTCCTGAAGTCCGGCCGTGTCGATTCGATCCAAGCTCTGATCCAATTCTGCGTTCCGCGTCTCCGCCTTGAGCACGTCCAAGAGAATAGACTCGCGGTTCTCTTCAAACCTCAGCCAAAGATCGGGATTCGATTGTCGCATGCCGTGTACGCCGACCAGAAGCAAGCAATTGAGGAACGAATGCAATGCGCCACCCGAATGGAGAGTGTGCTTGTACGAAAGCATCACCAGACCGTAGAGGAAGCAAATAAGCCGGTCACCTTCCTCCCTGAGGTGCGGCTCGTTGCTTCGAAGCGATGCAAGAGAAAAAAGCGCATACACCTCTTCTGGGCTGTGAGCTTTTTGTGAGCCAATCATCCTGGGATGAAAGACGGGCACGTCGCTGTGGATCACCTTTGGAATCAACGGTGCGAGGCTTTCGAGCATGGCGGCCGATGGGTGCATGTGGTCCTGACACAGCTGTGCAAAGGCTCGAAACCGCTCTACCACGAGCTGCAACTGATCACCACTGACAGCTGAGCTAGCGATCGAAGCTGAGCTGTTGCGTTGCCGGCTATCCTCTGGCAGAGGTGGCACGTCGATGTCCATCTCGGCCTTCTCATTCGAGGCGCCGGACTGATCTATAGCCGCTTGCGGTGGACCCATCACAATCGATGCCGCACTGTCGACCAGCATTGCTTCTTCACAGCCGTCTTTCTTCGAGGCGTCCTTCTGCTTCGTTCCCTGTGCAGAGGCCGGCCGAGGCAAAGCAGACGCTTGAGCAGACTGATGCGGAGACTCTGCGATGCGAGCAACTTTCCAGCCGCCTTCTTCATCCCGAGCAGCCCTGTGCGGAGGAGACGAGTCATGAGGCTTGTAGAAATTTGCGTTTGTTTCTGCGTCGGCATCTCCCGTGGTGACCTCCTGTGACCCAGCGTCTGCAATCGAGAATGAGATCGACTTGCCATGGTTTCCACCGACATCGCCTTGAAGGCTCTGCGTCTCATGATGATGATCGCGAGTTTGTGAGCCGGACTCGAAAGACATCGAGGCAGAGCTGAAGACACGATCCATGGTTCGTCTGTGAGACGTTGCACTGGGACCAAGGTATTCGGTCTGCGAGGCGGTAAGTGAGGGAAGGTAGAACGAATTCTGCGATGACTGTGCTTGAGACATGGGATGAATATGCATGCTGGTGGAAGATGGAGCGAGTCGATCGGACGTCCAAGGTGCTGGCATTGCTCCCTGTGACGGAACTGACGGGGCTGCTCCTGCTGATGAAGGGAGAGGCTTTGCAAAGGCTTCATGCGAAGAGAAGGTCTGCGAAGCGTCGACTGTGGCTGATTGATTTGCAGCAAAATCAATGCCAAGATCGGCCAAGATCTGCTCCATCTGGCCTGCATCCGGGGGCTCGGAAGGTGCAACTTGATCGCACAAGGCTCGGAAGTCGACGGCAAAGTATGAGTCGGCAGCCTCGGTGGAGCCACCGGACGGCGAGAGGCCCGGTGCGGGAGGTGCAAACGATTTCAAAAATTGCTGTGATGACGACTCGGGCGCTGACTCGACACGCACACGCTCTGATGGCTGTGCTGTGAGCACACAAGGATCCAGATTGGTCCAGCCGGCGTCTTCGCACTTTGGTCGCATCGCTCCGACAAAGAATTCGGATTGGAGGAGGTCGGCACCGGTGTTCTCATCTATTCCAGACTGCATAGATGGAATGGATGGAGATGCGCCAGACGGTAAGGCTGCTTGAGGATAGCCTGCGCCTGGTTGCATCCAACGAGCAGGTTCGCGTTGGCCGTGCTCAGCGAACTGAACGGTGGGCCCCATGGGTGAGGGTTGTGAAGCCATCCAGCCTCCTGAAGCGCTAGGATGAGGGTAGGACATTCCATCAGCTTGTCGCTCCCACTGGTAGGGCGATGTGGAAACAGCTGGTAAATTGATTCTTGCCCCAAAACCACCTTGGTGGTGGGGTTGGGCGTACTGCTGCATCCAATCGGTCCTATAAGAGGTCTCATGCTCGTTGAAGTGCCTTCTTGGCGGAAAGCTGCGGTCGGTGTCGTCGAAAGCTGGCGCAGGGTTCGAGAAGAAGGCTTGAGAACCGATGCGGTCTTGATCGTCCGACTCTACCTTAACTGCGTAGTCAAATCGGCCTTGATATGCAGGCAGTCCATCATTCTGCGGGCATGAAAAGGTCAAAGGTGGTCAGTGAGATGCAATGATACAGTTCAAAGGCGGGTGCGACTGAAACATACCTGAGGCAAATAGGCAGCAGAATGTTGTGCCTGTGGTTCCGGAAGACGCGAGGTGCTGGGGCCGCGCCAGTCGACTGATACCTGCGAGTGATGAGTAGCACCACGATAGCTTGCGTCAGGTGATGCTGCAAGCCGTCCGAGCGAATGGTGAAGGGTGGCAGCATCACCAGCTCGATAATGCTGTGTATTGCTACTGTTGCTGTGGTCGAAAGGCGATCGCAAAGAGAGTGTGCTATACTCTGTTGGTGAAGGAAAGGTATCTCCCGTGGTTGAAGCGCCGGTGGTACTGTTGGTGCATCCAGTGAAAACGCGTTCTACGCCCGTCGTACCTGCGGAAGCAGTCTCATGCGAGTGATATAGGTGTGGATGCTTACGACGAAGGTGACGGGCCATGCTATCGTTGCGAGAGAAGGCTCTGTTGCAGCCAGGACAGTGGAAGTCACGTCGCCGGGTGTGCGTCATCTCGTGTCGGCGCAAGTGTGCACGCTTGACGAATGAGGCTGAGCATCCTGGTACATCACAGTGAAATTTGCGAGCGGAGTCGTGTCCACGAAAGGCAGGCATGATGGAGCTGAGCAGCCTGACGATGACCCGGGGTCGGATCAGTTCGAGATGGAATCGGTCCCTGAATGTGGGACAGCGAAAGTAGGATCGATGGAGAAGGGTGCCATTTAAACAAGAATGGGACGTGTGGAGCTGATGGTGGGGGGCGGGACCAATGTGAGCGTGTAAGAGGAGAGACAGGCTCTAGACTTTACGACCCCACCAGGGTCATTTGGCCCACCAGAGGAGCTATCATCGAAAGAGAGAGGCGCACTTGGCGCGCTCGCTTCAGCAGCACACTGCGGCTCTCGTGTTTGGCTGGCATATCACGCCACCGGCGAAGGCACCCGAGCCTGTATGCAAGGCAATGCCGGGGCTGTGGGGCTACAAGGAGGCGTCGTCGAGATCGAATGGACGAGGTAAGGATTTCATATCGCGCTACGCGCCATGAATGGAGCAGTTTCTGCTTCGTGATGCAACGATGTGGGCGGAGGAGCAAGGTGTGATGGGCGTCCAGGTCGAGTCCTGCTGCGCACAAAGCCTTCAGGCCGAGAGAAAGAGAGACGAGAGGAAGCTCAGGACCTTGGAGAATAAGGTTACGCTCTGGGTGTCGCTGCAGAGGTTGTATGAGAGCGGCAGTAGCTTGATGATGGCCCTGGCAAGGATACTCTTAGTTGCTTGAAGGTATCGACTGGATGACCTTCCATCTTGATGTAGTATCCAGCAGAGCCAAGAATCCTAGATCGAGAGTCGGAGAGGATCTGACGAGCCGACCAGCCTCGGAAAGTGGCTGACCATTGAAATGGACGCATCTGCATCCAGATTTTCTCGACATGGTGAGAGGGCAAGTGGGATGTTGTTGTTGGGAAAGCTGTATGCAAAGCTCAACCTCTTACCGTCTGGCATCACCATCAACGTATCAGCGCAGAAGACGGCGACGCCTTTGGCATCCGGGCACAACTGGCTCTCCGCATCACGGTCCCAGTCAAGTGCCTTAGAGCCAGGGAAATGACCTCCGCATCGGATAAGTGTAACCGAGGCAATTTGTGGGGGGATGGAGCGATCCTCTTGAATCTCAATGACGTATTGCTTGCGGGCGGCAAGGTCGGGATGCGGATGAGTTGGAGTCGAGACCACGCTGATACCATTGACGGTCGAGTCGAGAAATGAAGACGTTGCAGTCGAGCATCTTTGCCCAACTGAGACTCGTGCTGAACAAGTGAGGATGGGAAATGAAGATTGCGGCGACTTTGCCGGTGGGACTAAGCTTGCAAACTTGCTGTACAAGCTCCACTGAAACCAAGCCGCAGCAGTGCCAGATGACAGCACCCTATCTTGTCAGGAGTAGGATGGCAGTTTGACCGATAGCAACAGGAGGATAAAGCTTGAGGCCTAAAATGCGATCGTCCGACTCTTCAGGAACGAAGTGAAAAGTAATCTTGGGCAGAAGTTGACGCTGTGAGCTATACGCCTGACCTGTTGGGCAAGGATACTGCCGGTCATCTGTCGAGACAATGATCAAGAATGCCAGGATGGGTTAGCGAGAGCGACGATGCCTGACGAAAACTGTAACTGCAACCCCTGGCTGAGCACAAGTAAGCCACATGAAGTGTTGTACCCACCATAGCAAACAGGACACTTCAGGTGGGCCCTGTTGGGAAGAGTATTCGTTACCGCATGTCGTGCAGACGGCTAGATCGGCGTCTTGGGTCTATGCTTTTCTGGCTCATCTCGTCTGCTGGCCAATGTGAAATGGCCGATACGGATGTCGATTGGCAATTCTCTGTGGCACAAGGTTGAACCAAAGCGGGAATGATAGTTAGCGCGATAGGCGCTTGATGAATGATGGCGGGCTGATGGAACAATGCCTCGATAGAGATGAAGTATGAGTGAGGCAACTCACGTGGTGCGTCGACTCTGATGGAGGTGTTGAGCAAAGGCTCCTTGGACGCCTTGTGGTTTGTGGCTTGCAACAAAGTCCCTGGTCTCACTCGACTCAAGCCTCCCCTGTCGATCTATCCGACTCGACACAGCCTGCACAGAAGCACGATGAACGACATCGCCGAGTCAAATAGCTCAAAGCAAAAGAGTGAGCTCAACAAGTCCCAAAGTGCTGTGCCGTTCACCTTGGCCAAGCTTGACCCACTTCGCAGACATGCTCAGCTCCCTGTCGCTTTCTAAAGATCCCTTCTTGCACAACCAATACGGACAGGGTCGAGCATGTCGATCGGCATCCTTTCTTATCTTAATATCCTTGCCAACGGTCAAGCGTAGCCGCGGCTAGACACCGAAGAAGGTCACAACCCTTGTCTCCTCGACGTACGGCACGTGTGGGGGGAAGAGTTGAAGAGTTGAAGAGCCTCGTTCTGAGTCAATCAAATCGTGCGTCAAGGTCGATGATCACAGCTTTCGATTGCGATAATGATGCGTGGTATCTACAGGACGGTGCGACTGTTTATATACTTATCAATGTTCTTCGTATGCATATATCATGTCTAGCATGGTGAGGTCGAAAACATGAGTGAATGCTATAGTGAGGTTACACCGGCTGTTTACTGACCGGTGTCTTGATGTCCGACAATCGATCCGGGGAACGCGTTAAACCCGAGTGAGCGAGGCTGGCGATTGGATGTTGCCGAGGGAAACAATCCAATATGATGATACGTGCTGACATAAAGGTAATCGGGACACGGAGGAGAAGATCTACACGGAGATCGGGTACAACACAGTCCCGCTCCTTGTCAAGATGGATCATGAAGTAGCAGTGCTCCCACTTTCGGCATGTGCCGCACAATTGTATATATATCTAGCGGGGGGCTCGAGGCCCTCACCACACTCTCATTTCAGTCAATTGAGTATACACATTTCTGTTCCAAAACAGCAGTAGGGGGTTTCAGTTTTCTCTGAGTTTTCAAAACTCTGAGTTTTCATGGTTTTTTTGGATTTTGAAAGCTCACTGCTTAAGTAAGCTCTGCCAGGAAAGAAAAGCTCAGAAGTTTTGAAAACCCCTACTTATTTTTGCTGTGAGCCTGGGTTTCTGAATATTTGAGTTTTCAGCAGGAGTTTTTGTCATGTGCTGATATCATGTGATTCTAACACAATTCTGCGCACAACCCTTGACCTCCACTTTCTACACTGTCTACACTTTCTCATGCTTTGAGTTACATCTGTCCTTGCTTCACTTCTATCACCATCTCCAGTAGCATTTCCTCCCTGTCAGTGCCAGGACATGGACATGCCATCCCCTCACAACCATATCAACAACATTACACTATTCACAGCTTTGCAGCGAGCCTCTGGATTGGCTCCAGCATCAGAGCAGTCTTCAACTGCTTCGCAGCACAACACAATAATGTCAGCTCAGTCCAACCTTGATTGCTCTCATCAGTGCCACCCTTCTGCAACTTCCAGCACTTGGCTGGGGCTGAGTCGACTCAGCCAGCAACCTCTCCTGCTTCCCCTTTGTCCTCCTCCACTCCTTCTGGTTCCAACACCACCACATCTGCCAGTTCTTTGCCTCGCCAAACCTCTACCCAGCCAACTCGAATCTCTGCAACTTGCAGACATCAAGCCAGTACTTGTGGCAGCAGGTTCAACAAAACAGATTGTATTGCCTACTTCAATTGGTCACCTAGTGACATAAATAACCTCATTGATATCATCTACAATAATGATCATTACCAACATGTTCTATTGCCAGGATGTTTGACTGCAGAACAGGAAAAGGGTCTGAAGACAAACAAAGATGTTATCTGCAGGCAGATATGGCAGGAGCTGTTCCCAGACGAGTCTACTGTTGGTGGTGCTGGTTGAGTAAAGACTAAGATTTGCTGGCTCACTGAACAATACAACAACATCAAGAAGACCATCTTGCAGCAGACCGGTGCTGGAGTACTTCTTCAAGACATGGATCACAACAGCTCGGTAAGTACAACTTAGTTGATTCATGTTAAGTGTGCCAACATTCTTATACTTTATATCTCTGTCTATGCTTCTTTATCAACTTGCAGGACTATGCCACATGTGAATCGATTGCTCGAAGCCGCCCTTGGTTTGAGCACTGGCACAAGATGATGACCAACTGTGCACAGACTGGTCCAGTTGTTCTTCTCACTGGTCACCCATATGATGCCACCCCTGCCTCCTCTCAGAATAACTCGGTTGATGCTGATGTGAACATGGATGATGCCAGTGATGCTCACTACCCTCAGTGACGCAACATTCCTGGCATGGAATCCATTCTTGAGGAGTTGCAAAATGATCCCATTGGAGCAAGAGTTATCTCATCTTTTTCTTCTTCGGTTGCAGCCACCCCAGCTGCTGCTTCATCTTCATCCTGCTCACCCTTCTCTTCCTCATCCAACCCGTCTTTGATTGGCCCCACCCCCTTCACCATTACCCCTATAGACACTCCAACCCACCAGTGCTCATCCAGCACCGCTTTTGAGGCTGATGAAGTGGATGATGGTGATGGTGACTCTGTTTACCATTCTCCAGCCACAGGTACAACACCCAAGAAGTCTCGACCCTTCACTTCCAAGAGCAAGCGAGAAGAGCTGTCGGAAATTGTGCAGGCCTGCACCCAAGACATGCTTCAGGCACAAATCAAGGTTGAGGAGGAATGCACGAAGAGGGAGGAAATGTGCATTCAATTTGCCAGGGAAGAAAGTGAGAGACAAGAGCACATGCAAACTGAAGAGCGTGGTTGGCTCATGGAGATGGTGCAGATGATGAACCCTAATCTACCCTTTGGCAACATTGCTGGAAGTAGTCAAAGCAATCTTGATCTTGACCCACTGGTTCTTGCCATGGATCAGCAGGACAATAGTGATTCAGCTCGTGAGTAGACCATTTGGCAAGAATGGTGTTCCTTTTGAGTTCTCCAAGTTCTGTTCCTGTGTTTCTGACTTGTTGTACCATTGCTCTCTGTAAAGCTAGCTCTCAATATGTATGACTAGCATACCCCATACCCAGTCTTCCGTGTAATCTCTCAAATGTAGATTGCTTCAATGTGATGAATTGTTCCACATACAAGATGCTGATTGGTGTAGCCCCGGTTCCAAGCATGCGTGTTGTGCAGAAATCAGCTGCACAGAACCCAGCTGCGCAGAACTCAGCTGTGTTGTGTTTGTAGCTTTGGACTCTCTTTCGGACCACATCATCCTCTCCTATTTCTGGCCCTCTACTTCAACCATGGTGCACACTTCCGACAAACAGCACCTCCTGGATGACATTGAGACCACCATCATGCACTCATTGATGGTGGAATCCAAGATGCAACTTGATCTGATGGATGTCGATGCCACTTGGCACCCTAATGATGACCTTGAAGATTCTGATGATGACATGTTTGATCATGCTATCTCATTCATGCTCATCAGGACTTACGACATCATCAGCCAGTCTCGATACACAGTTGAATGCCTTCAACTGCTGCAACGAAAGGATCCCCTCATCAACATGCTTGATCGATATGCTGTCATCAACCGCAAGCTCTTTCGAGGGGCTGTTCACATGACCCCAGATGCATTCCAAGCTCTCACTTACAGACTCAGCACAACCAATGCCTTCAGATCAATATCAAGCTTTCGGTGTGTTCAGCAGCAAGTGGCAGTTGGTCTATATTGGCTTGGATGGTCAGGAAATGGTGGTGGAGTTTGTGATGTTGCATTTGCCTGTGGTTGCAGTTGGGGCTCAGTTCATGTGTGGACAGATAGGACTATTGCAGGCCTATACGAGCTGAACAGTGAGGTAGTAACCTTTGCAACTGAAGATGAGTGTGCTAAGGCAAAAGCATGGGTTGCTGATAAGAGTGGAGTCGAGGAATGGTCTAGAGGATGGTTGGTGGTAGATGGTACACACATCAATCTTGCTTGGAAGCCAGCACTCAATGCTCGCGAGCATTACTCATACAAGGGTGATTATACATTCAACATTGCCCTTGTCTTCCTCCCTCATTCCTTGCACATTGTCGAGTCAGTGGTTGGACATCCTGGGTCATCACATGATGTGTGAGTCTGGGCTTCAGGCAGTGGTATTGTTGCGAAGCCTCGTTTGCATCTTGATGAAGGCAAGTTTGTCTGGGTTGATGCTGGTTATGGCTACTCCAGCTACACAGTTGGACTGTACAGCAACACTGCAGTTGCAAAGAGCAGAGATCTCCACTACTTCAACTATTCACTCTCCTGCATTTGTGTCAAGGCTGAACATGGCATTGCCTACCTCAAGAACCGCTTCCAATGTCTCATGGGATTTCGAGGCAACCTGTATCGAGAAGAGGACCACGAGAAAGCTGCACATATGGTCCAGGCTTGTATCATTGCACATACATTTGCAAGCTGTTATGATCAACCAGATGAGGTGGCAGAATACCTTAAGGCATCAGAAACTCTATCTGAAGCTGAGGTGCTGGAGACCACATCAGGGATGGAAGCATATCAGCAGGCTACCAAAGATGCAAGGATACAATGAAGGGAAAACCAGCAGCAATACGAACAGGAACAGGCTGCTGCCATGGAGGGCATGTCTCAGAACTGAGTCCAGAAGTTCAGGCAGGAGAAAGCACTGGATCTTAGGGAGGAGATGCTCACTGCACTCTTTGCTTCTCATGGCTGCCCTTTTGAGGACACAACAGCAGAATCTCAAAGGATGGGAATGACAACATTGGCCTTTGCCGAATGGCAGGAGAGACAAAACTGACAGCATGAGGCTCGCAGAAGACAGCAATCAGAACAGGTGTGATGTAAGCTATTTGCTTTAGCTTTTCAATCAAAGGTTTTGGCATTGTTCAGTATAGTGTTCAACAACATCTGATATGATCACTTTGATCTTGACCTGGTGTAGGGAATCAGAGATTGTTTTTACCAGGCAAGTCAAGTGAAACTCCAAGATGCATGTGTCACAGGCCTGTGCAGTTTCTTGGGGCATCAAAAATTGGGCCCAAACATATTTTCAAAGTATTGTGTTTTCAAAACTCAGAGATAACTGAAACCCCCTAGTGACATCGTGCTCGGACTCTCCCCGATCGCCCCCTAGTATCGGGATTATACTTCTTAACATTTCTTCAGATGTGACCTCGGAGTAGAAGTTGCATACTCCGAGATGTCACATGCTTCAACTGCAAGCCCTCGCACAACGGAGGATGCGGAGGTGTTAAATCGGCAGACAAATTGCATCCGGAAATGGGGGCAAAAAATTGTTGGAGATAACGATCCAGCAGAGCACGATCTGACGATGGATCGGGGGGATTCATTCTGATAGGAGATCGGGCAGGCTGATACAATGGAGATCGAAGACTGTTGGGTCCCCTCCGTTGTGCTACTTCCCTCATTAGGTGGGATGCTCCATCAGCCAGCCACAAACCACAAATGTATATAGATAATGAGCGGAGAGCTTGAGGCTACCGCTATGTTCTTCCCTTATGTCAATATAGTATAGTGTTTTAGCTCAAAAGCTTGAACACCGTACTGGGAACTGATATCTCCCCATAAGTGTCGATCAGAGTCAAATCTTACAACAAAAAAACTGTTGAAGGGTGATAAATTGATGATGGAGCTAAAACTAGCGTATGATAAAAGATGAGCAAGACGGGTCCCGATGGTCAACGATCGGTCCAGCCCAGACGCGCACGCCTTTCTTTGACGATCAGGTGATGCACTACTTGACGCGCTATTTGACTCCTCTGCGAAATTGTCGACTTGAAAGGCTACGCTGTGCTCTCGACGCTGGTCAGCAATTGAGCCCAGCTGCTCATCTCAGACACTTCGAGCGGCGTCGAGAGTAACGCTTAATCGACAGCTGTCCATCAGCAGCACTTTTCGCAGATGTCAAGATGCTTGGCAAGGATAGCGAGTAAACGGTGACCAAGAATTCATTGATTGTCACCCAAACTTTACATGAGAAGCAGAATCGTGATGCGTGCCAGAGAGCACATGAGAGTGACAAGTCCGTTCAGAGGAGGAGAGCCATGAAGGCGAAGACGGCACCAGCAATAAAACCACTTCCGACAACGACTGGCTTGGCAGCCGAGCTGGTCTTGGCGCCGGAGGTACCAGCGGAAGCACCGCTACTCGACACGTTCACGTTGTCATAACCAGGGTTGGTGTTCCAGATGTTCTTCTGACCGAGAGCCGTCAGATTGGTCTGAGGAAGGGTAGCAAGGGTCTGAGAGGTGTTGAGACCGCTCTTGACGAGCACCGGCTGGCCACCGGCACCAGTGACCTTGACATCATCAGGAGCATAGAAAAGTGTGAAGCTGGTGTCTGACAGAGGACCAGGAGCAACACCAGTAATGTTGGTCTGGGGGATGTCAGCATCATCGACCTGAGTGTTGATGTAGCCGAAAGTGTCAGCCCAGAAGGGGAAGACGTTGGCCATTGTCTTGTTGACATCACCACGGCCGAGCGACTTGAGGTTCCAGTTGGCTTGCACCGACGACAAAACAGAGTAATGGGTCTGATACGTGTGATCAGTCGTGTTCTTCAGGTTCTCCGGAACAGCACCACCGAGAGCAATAGTGAAGATGCGGTTGGCAGCCGAGTAGCTGTCGTTCTCGTCGAAAGTGAGGAGGATCAGGGTACGGTTCGTGTTGAACTTGGGCTCCTTGAGCAATGGGGTGAGGAAGTAGCTGGTCCAGTTCGAGAAGAAAGCAGCTGTTGTGTCGTGCCCATCGTCAATCATGTTAGCAGTGATGAAGCTCCTATAGCACGTAGGGAAAGAGGGAACATCATCCATATAGGGAGGAAGACAGATATGGGATCAGGAAGGTTGATTCGATCGTCAGAACGTACGATATCGATTTTTCGGGGGTCGCCACCGGCAATGCTGCGAAGCGTAAAATATTAAACTTACCACTGTGGTATTGTGTTGTTGCCAATGTCGGCAGCGAGATCGTTAAAGTTGCGGTTGTAGAGTGCACGAGACTTGTTGCCGGAAACGTAGTCCATGATGGCGCAAGGGTTGTGCTTGCGGACGTAGTAGGTGTAGTCAGGCGCGCCAGGAGAGATGTAGTTCTTGGAAGAGTAATTGAAGCCGGTAAATCCGTCATAGGGCATGTTCTCCTGGTAACAAGCGTACGAGATAGGCTTGCCATCCTTTCCTCCGTCGTCGAGAAGGTCGAAGACAGTAGTGATGTTGGTGGGGATGTGGTTGAAGCTGTCGTCAGAAAGGCCGAAGAAGTCACCAGCGACCGAAGCAATGTAGTTGGGCTCCGAAGGGTGAGTGAGAGCATAATAGTTGTCGAAGAGAACACCTTGAGGCAAGAGAGCCTGCATGGCAGGCGTCGAGATCGCCGCCTCGTAGTCGGTGTTCTCGAGCCAGATTTGGATGATACGGTCGAAGGCCTTACCGGGCACAGTGTTGTGCTTGGGGTATGAGGCATTGTTCCATCCTACGTAGTTGGAAGATTGAGCTAGAGGAGAGCTTGAGGGAGGAGAGAAGGACTGAGCGATCTTGGCACGCTTCTCGATAGGGCCAGCAGCAATGCCAGCTACGGCAAGCGAGACGGCAGAAATGGCAGCAACAGTGGCCTTCATGCCGGTACAAGCTGTTATGGGGGAAGGAGGGCAATGTGTGTGTTGGAGGAGAGTGGAACAAAACACTAGTGATCCAGGCGAACGACTAACGACTTTATAAGAAGAGAGCCGGGATATCTGCTACCCAAGGCATCACGACACAGAGGGGAAAGCTACCGTCTGCCTTGAGAATACTGGCAAAGGCGGCCAGGCACGAGGTTGTAGATGCAGAACAACAGCGCACCGAGCGACCGAGCGACCAGAATGTGGAAACCAAGGCTCCTTTTGACAAAGCTTTGCTTCGGCCTCCTTTCCTTCTCTCACCGCAATGCGCTGCCCCACCCGAGATGTTTTGTTTTAGTACGAACTCGATATGTTTGCCTTCATTAGACCAATCAGGAAGGTGGGATTTACAAGAGAAGATCGTGCCAGTGCCGAAAGTTGGTTGAGCAGCAGGCACGGGTGGGTGGCAACGTGCACCTTGAGTTGAGCTTATACATTCATGCTTTTTGCTACAGACTGTTGGCACTCAAAGACGTGGCAATGTCACAGAAAGAAGCATAGCCGGCGGCAACGAAAGCATGAGGTCAAAAAGTCCGGTACAATGCGAGGATGAAGGAACGTGCGAGAACCTAAGCTCGAGCGTTGACTGTCGCAGCAGACGCTGGATTCAACATTGGGCTACTCTCTTTCCATGTGGGGTCTTGAGCACGTTCTGTCTTGTGCAGCCTGACAGAAGGACCTCTTGGCATTTGGCCAGGCTGTCTCGACATGTCGAAGAGCTACCATCGCGTATGCATCCGACTTCTGCACCTTTTGCCTTGCTAAGGGTTGCACTGAGGCTCTGTTCAGCTAGTCTCGACTCTACACACAACACGACCACGACACACCCAAATAGAGTTCCATAAGTGCGCATCGAACGATGGATATCATCAGCCCATGACCTCCACAGTGACGCTCATCTTGGAGACTATACCGGTTCTGTGTCTACCTTCCGGAAACTGCTCCAAGACACAAAAACCATGGTCGCAAAGGCTCATCTCCGCCCCGAAAGTCAGCAGATGGCGAGCGAAGGAAGTATTCAATCACTTTCGGTGGTAGAGAAAGGCTCAGAAGGCTCGCATCCTCAGCCGCCTGGATCAGAGCAGCGCAAGACACGTCCAAGAAACTTTCTGGCATCATTAGGTGCGCTGGTCTTCATACTTGCTCTCACTCTCGGCCTTGGTCTCGGACTTGGACTCGCACGCAAACATAGAACGCAGTCCGGTGCTGCGACGTCAAGTAGCAAAATAGTGCCAGGAGCGACTGCGAGCAACCTAGCTTTCATTCCTCGAGAGCAGCTCGTCGACCCAACCCAGCTGACATTGAGCCCAACATGGGATCGAAATGCTCCACCACAAGACCGCATCTTCAACTGGACGCTGACGCAGGTCTTGGCGAACCCTGCTGGCACAACAAAGCAGATGCGCCTCGTTAACGGCCTCTACCCTGGACCGTTGGTCGAAGCAAATATCGGTGATCGTATCATTGTGCATGTCGAAAACAAGATGCCGGTACCGACTACGATTCATTGGCATGGTCAATACCAGAGAGGCTCGAACGAGATGGATGGCTCTGCTGGCATCACAGAGTGCGGCATTGCTCCCGGAACTACCTTCACATACAACTGGACTGTTCAACAGTCAGGCTCGTATTGGTGGCACTCGCACTATGGTCCCACATATGCTGACGGCCTCTTTGGTCCCTTGATCCTTCATGGTGATGACGAAGAGTTCAAGATGACAAACCCTAACAATGCTGCGGCTTCCCAGGCTGGTGTCGTTCCCACTGTCACTATTGCCAACGGCATTGCGGTCAGAACTGACTACGACCAGGATCATATCTTCGTGGTAAACGATGCCTATCAAGCAGACTCTTTCACTGTCGCTGCTATTGCCAAATCAAAGGCCGGCCCGCCTGGTGGCGAGCAAGGTGACGAGCCGACACCAGACTATGGCATGATCAATGGACTCGGCTTCTCCAACTGTGGTCTCGCACCCAACGGCACTACCTGCATTTCGGATCCACCGCAAGGCAAGTCTGCCTACAACTTCACGGTCCCTGCCAACAAACGTGTCCGCATGCGTGTCATCAATGCTGGCTCTCTTGCCACCTTCCGCTTCTCGGTCGACGGTCACAATATGACCGTGATTGAGGCGGATGGCATTGAAGTCGAGCCTGTCATAGTTCAGAGCTTGAACGTCATGGTCGCTCAGCGATACTCGGTGATCATTGAGACGGACAAACCTGTCGGAGCGTATGCCGTTCGCGCAGAGGTGATGGATGACATGTTCGCCTACGACAATCCGTTCCTCGTCATGGACCAGTACGCCATCATGCGTTACGAAAGCGTCGCGGCTTCAGCTCAGCCAATGACCAACCCGTCAAACTCGACTCTGCTCAACGTGACGGAGACCTTGAGCACATCACAGCTGGTGCCCATCACTAGGATCGATGCCCCCGCATCCAATATGACAACCAAACTTGTCGTCAACTTCGGCCTGGACGCATACAGCAACTGGCACGCCTTTTTCAACCAGACCACTTTCACTTCCGAGATGGCGGCTCAAGCCTCGCTGATGAAATCGTACACCTTTGAGACCAGCCAGCGTTCATCGTCAAACACCAGTGTCGATGCTTACTACAACGACCCCGACGAGATGATTGTCACAAACACAGACGTCGTCGTGATGGACGTCATTATCAACAACCTCGACGAAGGCTCCCACCCCTTCCACCTCCATGGCTACTCACCTTTCCTCATCGGCGAGGGAGCGGGCAACTTCCAGGCTCAGGATCAGCCCAACTTTGCGGCTGCCAGGGTCAATCCAATGCGCAGGGACGTCTTCTCAGTTCCACCTTTCAGCTGGATGGCATTCCGCTTTGTCGCTGACAATGTAGGAGTCTGGCCTTTCCACTGCCATCTGATGCCACACATGGCGATCGGTCTCTTGATGCAGTTCCAGGTCTTGCCTGATCAGATCGCCAAACTTCCAGTAAGAGATCAAAACTACAATCAATGCTCAGCTGTCTACGATTGGGTCCAACAGAATCAAAATCTTCTCACGTCAACGGGCAACCCTGGTTACATGTAGTATCATAATATCTCCCCGTCTTTTCGGCTCCCAACGTTCGTTCATCTCGTCATTACGCATTGCAATCCAGCTTCTCTTGTCTTCTCACCAGACTGTCTTACCTTTGGCTTGCAGAATGATTCTGACATCTGACTCTGCTCCGAGATCTCATGTCATCGCAGTCGGGTTTCATGAAGACCTGTCGCAGTTAGCGTCGATCTGGTCGAAACTTGGTGCGTAGAGGCTAAAAGTACATGTGACTACGTCGTCAGGAACAGTCATACCGGAAACCGAGTTACGGCTTCAATGGCAGATGCTGGAGGAGATTGCAGTGCTTCCTTTGATGGTGCGAAACCGCGGTGGCTGACTCTAGATACGGATCGAAAGGACACTGGGGACGCCAATCAGACCGGAACTTGTCCAGCTCCGCCTCGACCAAGGTCTGAGCCAATCGGGCCGCCTTGCTCTGATCCGACAGAATAGCCGGCTTTGGTGAGGCGTTCGGAAGGGTCCCCGACAACAGCAACTACAACAGAGATGTCGTCGTGCTTACCACCAACATAGTGGAGACCTTCCTCCATGGCTCGTTGCTGGAAGGGCGAGCTGACAGCACGAGAGTCTTCTGAGACAGCCTTGGCTCGGGAACAGAGAGCTTCCGACACCAATTGGGGGTCAAAGTCATCCGGCAGTCGATAGTCCTCCTCTCCCTCGATGATGCGATTTCCATCCTCTAGTGAGACTTTGTCGTCTTCCGGGATGGACACTTGCGATACAGGAGGTGGAGCGAATTTGAGAACTTCCTCTACAATGTCCTCATCGAACAAGTTGTCTACGAGCCCATCGCTGCCAACGACGATGATGTCGCCTTTCTGTACCTTGACGGACCAACGGCCAGCATCGCGACGTGGTTCATCCCATTCGGCTTCTTCCGCTTCGTCGCCATCGACAGCGGGAGAGATGTTGGGCTTGCCCTTTCGAGCTTCATCCATGGATGCAGGCGTAGTAGTCCCAAGCGGGTTGGGGGCATTGTCATCCAGATCGTCGGAGGCGCCAGACTGAAGGAAGCCATCGCGAGCGAGGGTGCGATTAGCAGCAATGGTGACGCTCTCTGCTGTGTGACCCATCATACCAAGTTGGACGGGGAAGTTGAAAGAATGCTGTTGTTCGGTAGAGCGGAAGAGAAGCTCGCCTGCACGGATGATGAGCAGGACGCAATCACCGAGATTGGCGATGCGCAGCTCGTCGCCTCTGAGGACTGCGAGGAGCGCCGTCGATGATCCGAGAATACCTTCACGACGAGAAGCACGGACACAACGTTCCCATGCGATGTGCATGACTTCGACTGGATCGAGCTGTTCCCATTCCTTGAGCTTCTTGCCGCCATGAGCTACCAGCTCATCAGCGCTCAAGTCATCGAACTTGCTCAGCTCGGCGGCGCAGAAGTGCATGAGAAGGCGGGAGAAGAGGGCGGGATCGGCGCCAGCGCGCGAGGCCCAGCCTCCGACGCCATCTGCGACACCGATGGAATCTGATCGCAGGAAGTAAGCATCTTCGCCGACCTGAACGGACTGGAGGCGATCTTGGACGACCCTGCCATGTTCGCGGATGGGCGAGTTGAGACCAAGACGTCGACCATCCTCTGCGACAAGTGCCTCGCCGCCAAGTTTCGCTTTCGGTGCTGATGGTGCAGAAGGGCCTGCAGAGCCTGTGAGAAAGTCGGCTGCTGCAGCGAGCATCCCAACAGCACCTGACCTAGCAAGAGGTTTGGCTGGCGTTGGCTGAACTCGGTTGCCGTTGCCACGGACAGCAGCCCAAGGATGGCGCTTCGGAATACCATAGGCGCCGTGCTGGAAGGCGTAGTGCAACTTGCGATGTTTGGGCGAAGAGAGAGAGGCTGTCCATAGTGGTGGCTGATTTGCTGCTTCTGATGTTTCGGTTAGTGCTGCGGCTGCGGCGCGGCGGCGTTGATCGTAGTTGGCTCGGGCGGCATGTGTTGCGGTTGTGAGAAGCGATGTCGGACCGAGAAGTGCGTTCTCGATCTGGTAAGGCGAAAGACCCTTGTTACTCGTTGGCGTACTCGAGCCGCTCCCGTGACTGCCCGAGGAGTCCTGCTTGGCGGAGGAAGTGGCGAGATGAGGACGAGCTGAGATGGTCGGGGTTGGTGAGCGAGATGATTTGGAAGATGATGAGCTCGACGATGATTTGGAAGAGGACGAAGAGGAAGACTGCCTTGCGGAGCTCCTGTTGTCGTTATCTGTCCAGTTGACAGTTCCTGGGTGACTTGAGAAATATGCATCCGAGTGTGAGTCGCACGTCGAGTGAGAAGGGCCACGACCGAAATCCGCAAACGCTTGATGGGAGACTGCTGAGGCGGTGTGCCTGTAAGACGTAGCTGATGCATGGTCAACGTGATCGAGAGGGTTGTTGGATCGGAAGTCTGAAGGCAGTGGGCCACTGGCAAGGAGATTGGTTGGAACATCAAAGGCAGGGTTGCGAAGAAGATCTGAGCTGGAAGCATCATGAGGAAGTAGAGCAAGATTTTCAAGACGCTCCTCGAGCAATGCCGAGTCGCTCTGCTGGGTAGTGCGGGAATAAGTGGAAGGCCCTGGGGCGGTGGATGCGTTCCACAGGGGAACGTAATCGGCTGGTTGCCGTGAAGCATCTCTTGATCTTTGAAATGACCTCTTGCTTGGCGGCAATGAGCGGCCATTGAGGCCAGAGAGATTGTAAGGCGACTCCAATGACGAGCTTGTCACGCTGCTGAGTGCATGGGATGCAGCTGCATTTGGGTAGAAGATGTGAACGCCGCGTGCATGGGGTAATGAATAGGCTGAAGCATTGGGATGGGGTGACGCACGGTCTAGAGAAGGAAGCGGGAAAGCGGAGGCCTGCGCCCTTGCGAGATGACGAGCTGCAGCTGAGAAAGTGGCTGAGGGGGTGTTTGGCGATGCAAAGAGATGCGAGTGTGCTGATGTAGAGAATGGCACATCTGCCAAGGCAAGTGTGGATGCTGCAAAGGTCAGATCGCTTTCGAGAAGATGGACGAAAGCGCGGGATTGCGAATCGGATGCTCGCGTGCTGTTTAAAGCATGCTCAGCATAGGATTCGGGAGCGCATCGCTGATCTAGGTCGTGGTGATTGTATGGGTTTGACGAGGATGCGGTAGTATCGTTGCGGGTATCAGTGTTGCTGGGCGTCTGCTGAGCCGAGGCGTTTTGCGAAGCGGCTAGGGTGAGAGGGCCAATGAAAGGCGTTTGTGAAGAAGATGGTTGCGATGCACTGATGTTGGTGCTGGCGCTAGAGGAAGAGGCGGTACTCGAGCTGGGCAGCAAAAGCGAGGCGAGTGGTGTGATGGCAGCTGATCGGCGTCGTGGAGCACGCCTGCTTGCATGGGCTATGATCGAGGAGGAGCGCGTCGAGGCAGCAGCAGTCCTAGCGAAGAGGCCATGATTGGGAAACTTGGACATGGTCGATCAATGTCTGCAGCGCAAGATTGTGAGCACTGGGAAGCAGAACGGCAACCCTGCCGTCAACAGACTGGCGGAGCGAGGTGATCGTGCCGGATGCAAAGGCGGAAGCAAAGGCAAATGCGATCAATCAATGTCGATGTGAACAGAGAGGCGACAATAGCCTGCGGATAAGGTTTAGAGAAGACGGCTTGGAACAATATGAGCCGAAGGAAGGCGATGACGATCCGAAATAACAAGCAGTGGTACGGGTCAGTTCGAGACTTGGGATGGTGTACCGCGGCACGTTGGCGGCCGAGATGTGAGAAAGACGGAGCTGAGAGTGCGCGCGAGTATGGTGAAGACGACTGTAGCAGCCAGCTCAGAGAAGAGCAGCGACGATGGTTGATGAGCGTGGAGAGGAAAGCGATCTCTTCCCGAAACTTGAACGTTGCTCTAGGGATAGATAGCAACGATAGGGCCAAACAGCACTCCCTTGCTGTGGAGACCGACGCAATCCGATGCTGCAGCGTGTGTGAGAGCCTTGACCTGGAATCGGCCCGATCCACTCAAGATGCGAAAGAGAAATCGGGCTAGCAAACAAGCTTACGCAGGGAAAACGGCGCAGGGAAAACGGCGCAGGGAAAAGGGCGCAGGGAAAAGGGCGCAGAGACTCGAACCTTTGGCTCGCCAACAAGCAAGCAATTCAGATAGCGCACGTGACAATGATGCTCTTTCTTGTTTGCTTTCCTTTCTTGTTTGCTTTCCTTTCGTCTCTTGACTCTTGAAACCTACACCCGTCGCATCGCTGCACAATCACCTTGTCCCTCGCACCTCTGTTCGTCGCCAAACAGGCCTGGACTGTCCGACTCCTTCATCTGCCGAGACTAGCCCGGAAGAAACCTTTCACGTCGACGTCGTCATTGCCCGCGTCTTGCCCACTCACATCCAGTCACCTCGTGACCATCAGCAGACCAAGCTTCCCCTCGCCCTGATACTTGCACATCGCTTTCTCCAGCTCGCTCGCGATAAAACTTCTGCTCTTTGCGTCGCTTAGCCCTTTCTAAAGTAATGCTTCTGTTGTGACCGCCGTTCGCGTCTACCTAATCGAGCGTCGTAGCGCTCACGACCTCATCTGCGCATACCAATCGTCGGGCCGGTGATCTGCTACTTGCTGTGTCCAGTTCGCTTCACACAGGTCCCACTAAACTTTCATTTCGTGGCACTGAGCTTAACTGCGACCTTGCCTTGCACTAGCATCCCACGCACCTTACCATCATCGAGGGCCGCTTCTTGACTGCCCTGGCACCTACTCAAGCTTTGGCGCCACTAGCTTTTCGGCTTCGCTTTCCTCCGACGCTCTCCTCCCAAAGTCGTTGGGCTGCCGTCGGCCAGCTCAAATTGTCAGTCACTCTCGTCCCTTCGCTTCCTCTCTCCGCACGCCATACCTGTCCCCACGCTGTATCCTAACCCTACGTTTCTACCTTTCTGTGCCTGCCCATAAATTCCTTCAAGCCCATCTGTAGAGCGGATATAATAGCAGCAGCACTCTGACCCCATCTCGCCTGCTCACAAGTCGACGCGTCCCACCACTACACCATCTCCTCTCAGAGGCAGTTTCTTTGTTCGATCTGCCATGGCTCGTAAAGAGTCCGCCTCCTCCTCTTCGGAGATGAGGTACACATGTGACCAGCCTGGCTGCACAAAGAGCTACTCTCGACCTGACCATCTCCTTCGTCACAAGCTCAACCACGATCAGGCCCGTATCCTCTGCTGCAATCAATGCGATCGCACCTTTGTTCGACAAGACCTTCTCATTCGTCATCTCGAACGACATGCACTCCGTGGCAAGACGCTCGGCAGATGGTCCAATCGAAACAAGCATGGTACCGCAGAGGACGGCGACGATGCAAATCGTTCTTCCTCTCCTAACAAAGGATCCTCAGGTGCCTCAGCCAACAAGCGACACAGGTCTGGCACAACATCCAAGACGGCTCGTTGGCCTCCCTCCAAATCGAACAACAATGACGACTCGGCAGGGAATGACTCTGAAGACGATGAAGGAAGTGAAAGTCCAAAGCTCGACAACATCGACTTCAGGGAGCCCGGATCAGACCCTAGAGCCAACATCCAGTCGCGAGATCTACCGCCGCCTCAGCCGCAACCTTCATCCCTTGCCAATCCGCAGCAGATCCCTTCTCCTTGGTCCGCTTTCACATCTGCTCCACTCGACTCTCCGGGCTCACATGGGCAGTCAAACCCGTCAGCACCTTATGCAGCGTCATCGACGTGGTCTTCGAATCCCCCCATGTCGCCTCCCACTTCGCGTCCAGCTCACAACTATGGTGCAACCGCTTCGAGCTACCGTGCAGCTCAAGCAAGCTCGATCGACAATGCTAGACCCCCTTCAGCCGAAATGGGGCCAAACAACGCCGCTCATTCGAACACTACCCCTTATCCTGCCTCGTCGTATCGCAATGACTCGATTTGGGCAGACGATCCAGCGAATGGCAACCTTCGACCAGATCATATCAACGGCGAAGAACCATCAGCGACGGCACAGCCTCACCAATCATTCGGCTGGATCGCAACACCGCGCGATACTATGCCGAACAATCAGAGTGCAGGTAGCTACACTCCGCAACCTTCGGCATCCTACATGTCTGCCTGGAATGAGGCAATGAACGAAGCGCCTCGACCTGAAATGGCCATGTCGATGGGTGATCTCGATACTACCAATGTTGTTCCCAATCCCGCCAGGCCGCCATCTGCGCTGCCTCCACCTGACCACGACATCTTCCCATTTGCACCTCCCATGATGGACCACGCGGCCCACTACGGCTGGCTCTTTGACGGCGTTGATCCGTTCGGTGGTTCCAATTGGGGTGGAAGCATCGGTCGCCCGCCTACAGCTGGCAGCAACGCTCGTGGCGCCCAGTCTCAAACATCAGGCTTCTCTCCCAGCAGCTCCGATGGTCTCGGTGGGCTTCTGGGCAATATGCATGGATCTCAAAACGGCGCTGCTGCAGGTGCCAGTGCCGGCGATGTCTCCAGCTTCGGTCGCGCCATCGGCTCCGAAGCCGCTCTGACGTCGGGTAGTGAGGTCGAGACACCAAACGCGCTCGAAGATCTGGCCTACTTTGCCGCCTTGCAGGCAGACATCCCAAGTCGTGTCACCTATCACCTCGATCCGGTGGCTCACCGCCGACTTCTCATCTTCCTGCAATCAGTCAGCGAGCTTCCCAACTCTCCGCTTTTTACGCCGTCGGCACTCAGGTGCTACATCTACCTCTTCTTTGTCAAGTTCAATCGGCTCTATCCGCTCGTCCATGAGCCAACATTTGCCGCCAGCACCACTGATCCGATGCTCCTCAGCGCGATTGTCGTGATCGGCGCACACTTTGCCGGGCTCCCCGCTCATGAGCTCGCCGTGCGCATCGCTCAGAAGATCTGGGGTGCCATCGTCAGTCTCGAAGATTTCCGTCCTGCTCGTGCTACGCTGCCCATGCTTCAAGCGCTTGTCCTCACCGAATGCTTCGGCAAGGTCATGAGTACACGACCGCAACACGAAATGGCCCATCTCTTCCACAACTTCATCATAACACTTGCACGCAGAAACGCTGTCTTTAATGCTTCCACACCGAACCCATCGCACCTCGACGACTCGGAGGGCTCATGGCGAAGCTGGGCCAGGGAGGAAGAGAAGAAGCGTATTGCCCTCTTTGCATTCATGCTCGACGCACAGCATGCCACCATTTTCCGACACATCCCCTCGCTCTCGGCCTTCCAGATCCAACTGCATCTTCCCTGCGGCGACGAGGAGTGGAGCATGGTCACGCCCGAAGCATGGTTCCGACATCGCAAACGTACGGGCTACAAGCCTCCCGGTCCTTTCATTCCGGCGCTGAAAGCTTGCCTCAGCCCTGCGAAGACGCCGCAGGATCTCGATGCGTTCCCGCGCTTTGTGCTCCTACACGGTCTCATGAGTATCGCATACGACCTGCAATGGAAGCAGAACGTGTTGCTCGGTGCCGAAAACTCGCCAGGTGGCACCAAGAATGCAGACAACGGCATCGGTAACTGGAAGGACCGACTCTCAGCAGCTTACTCGTCTTTACAAGCCCGCATGGACATCGCCTACATCAAGGCAGATGAAGAGTCCAGCACTCGGCTGATCCACCGCGCAACACCAAGCTTGGTCACTGCTGCTCAAATTGCCTTGTTCGCCGACATCATCGATATTCAGATCTACGCCGGGCTCCCTTCGGTTCTTGGGCGCTTCATTGATCGTGCCACTTTTAATGCCTCGAGACAATCGGTCAAAGAATGGGCGCGCACCTCTGATGGACGCGCCGCCGTCTGGTACGCAGTCAATTTCCTCCGTACTTCTTTGTCAGGTGCAGGCACCGAGTCGTATGGCACAGTCCAGCCATCACGGTTTGGAGGATCTCTTGCGGCTGGTGACGAACCACGCGAAGCAACACCGTTTTACCCGGGCTTACGAGATGCAGAAGGTAGGTCCGGCTTCTTGGGTGGATCCGCCATTCGTAAAGTATCGGATAGGGAGACAGGACTTGACGAAGTATTGCACCACCGATGGAGTCAGTATCTTTGTGCGCTAGTCATTTGGGCGTACGGACATGCTTTAGCTACACCGCGTGTCGGACCAGCAGCCACCGAGACAGGCGCGGGTGTTGGAGTTGCAGCTGGCACGGCTTCCTCCGCCGGGCCCAATTCGGCTTCTCTGAGCGGTAGTGCTGCCCTCAACACATCGATCTCTCACTCACCGGGCGCCTTGCAAGGCCAGGTATCGGCAGAAAGAACACAAATTGGAGGCGATATGGGTTGTCGAGAAATTGCTTCGGCGCGACCTAGCTCTTTATCGCCTCTCAAGCCGGAGGGTATCGACTACCTGGAGCGCATGTCGACCAAGACACCAGACGATATCGCCTACGTCGACTGCAAATGTTATACCCGCGGTGTTCTCGAGATGGTCGAACGCGAAGTTCGAGCGTCACGTTGGGAGCTCGGCCGTGAAGCTTCTGGCGTGCTGCGTAAGCTCATCTCCAATCACTCCTTGCCAGTTTGGGACCGGTCAAAGTTCTCTGCCGTCACAGAGCCCGATCGGTCGGAAGCCACAGCTCGGAGAAACGATCTCTCCACCTTGACAATTCAGCAGCAAGCCAGACCGATCTCAAACAAGGACGATCCTGACACGCGAGGGTACAGCATCCCGTCTAGTGGCCCGAATCCTTCGCTGGCCTCAAGACCTTCGACTCTGCCAGAACGAGGTTTGATGTCGAGTCCATCGACGTCGAACGCGGCAGCTATTCAGTCATCGGGCAGGTAAAACAGTATTTTATGTAATGCCGCCATTCAAGGTGATTCGAATTTCAAAGACTTACCGCTCTTGCGTGATAGCATCGCAACATGTGTTCCATCCAGCTTTCGTTGGCAGGCAAAGTCCTGCATGTGAGATACCATTTACGTTCGTGTGAGAGGTGAAGCTACTGTACTGTACAGTACACGAGTGATTGAAGATGCAAGCATCGATCGTGAGCTCGAGCAACAATGTCTCGTCATTCTGACAAGCCGCATTGCCGCGGCTCAATGTGCTCATACGGAAGTCTCGCCAGTCGAACGAGCTCACCTCTGTTTCTTGATTTGGGGATGTAACGCTTGCAAAGCATTGAGTCGTTCGGCTAATGTCGGATGTGAATAATGGTATGCCGAAAAGAGAGGGTCGTGGTGCATGGTCGAGAGGTTGTGTACGTGTAGCTTGATCAACGCTTTGCCGAGAAGCTCAACGTACTCTTCCTTCTGATGCGGATCGACCTTGACGCTTGCATTATCCTTTTCAGAGTTGAATTCGGCGACGGCAGCGAGCTCCGATCGGGTGGGGCCTGGGCGCGAGAGTGTGGCAGCGAAGCGATCAGCTGCGTACTCCATTCGGCGAACAGCCGAGTTAAGCAGGAACTTGATCAGAGCATCAGTAGGGTTGAGGACAAGCTGGAAGAGCTCCAGACCGATGATCACAGGAAGATAGTTGAGCAGCTGAGACGAAGGTGTTCCGGCGGCCTTTTCGAGAAGCGAGGGACCAACTTGGAAGCCAAAAGATCGGTACAGGGAGACATTGTTGATGAACAGGGTGAACAGGCTCATCGTGAAGCAGATCTGCACTTGGGACAGGACGAGCAGCTTGGTCGGATCGTTGTTGGCGTAGTGGCCGAGCTCGTGTGCCAAGACCGCCTCAATCTCGTCTGGAGTCGACTTCTCGATAAGAGTGTCGAAGATGACGATGTGCTTGTTGCCGCCTGGAATGACGCCAAAGAAGTAGGCGTTTGAATGCGAAGATCGCTTACTTCCATCGATGACATAGATGTGCTTGAGCGGGAATTTGAGAGAGGATGCTAGAGCTACAACTCGGTCTCGAAGCGCACCTTGCGGAAGGGGAGTGAGCTTGTTGAAAAGCGGCTGGATGACAGTTGGATATAGCACCATGGCGATGATCTGGAAGCTGAAGAGGAAAACGACGACGTAGGAAACGAAGGAGTTATCAGCCCATCGGATGATCCAAAGCAGCGCAGAGACGAGCGGAACACCGATGATAAAGCCGAGCAACCATTCTTTGACTGTGTCCGTGATAAAGGTCCGAGCGGTCATCTTGTTGAAACCGTGTCGCTCTTCAATCACAAAATTGCGATAGAGGGTAAGCGGGATCGAGGGAATCTCTCGAATGATAAACATGATCATCATCCAGACGATTGAGCGTGGGATCTCGCTGTCGGTCTGGCCAGAACGGGTCAGGATCGTACCAGCTAAGGTCCAGCTCCAGGCGTAGATGTCGAAGTAAACGAGCGCAACACTAATGAGCTGACTGTAGGCAGAGGCAAATAAGCCAAAGCGAGCCTTATCCCGTCCGTAGACCTGCGACTTCTTGAACGTCTCGAGGTCGACATGGCTGGCTAAGGTCGCTGGTGGGGTGTCAAGGCTGTAGAGCTGATATTGACGAAGCGAGAGAAATGTTTCGAAGCCGTAGACGAGCCACAAAAGGGCCAGGACAAGCTTCTTCCATTCGATTGTCGGATCATCGAGCGTCGACTGCAATTGTGCGATGTTCTCCTGCACGAAAGACAGCATTGTCGCAGAACTTTTCGCGATGTGTAACGGGAAGAATCGCTGCTTGATGCGAGACTACCAAAACAGAAAGTGGTAACCGTTTGGAAGAGAAGTATTGTCGCTGTTCTTCGTTAGGGGATAGAACGTGATAGTAGTGACGAAGAACCGGACCGACTTCGACCAGGCGTGTTCAGGTAACAAGAACAAAGGGATGCGAGACAGATGGCTTCGTGTCGAAAGTCTTCGTGCAGCCTACAGTGTGTAGGATTCTCCATCAACGGCGAGTTATCGCCCTTGACAACGCGTCAAAATTGTTGGAAAAAGAGGCTGAGAAATTGAGGTAAAAAGTAATGTTAAATTGCCTAACTCGAGTGAGTCGTTTAGTTGAAGATGCGTTGGCATCTCAAACAGAGTACAGTCGCGTCCAAAATTGCCCGGCATCTAATTAATTTGATATGGTGTTCTCAGGTCCTTTTCATGATGATGACCAGTAACCATTCCTTTTGAAAATTTCCTAACCAATATAATGACCGTTATATAGATAATTCTGTGTAATTCTAATTGTTCTCATCAGATATAAGCATTCACTTATAATCCTTAGAGTCCGCATAACTCATGGCAGATTAACTTCTCCATGAAACCCTCGCATATTTGGTGAGGAGTGTTTTAACTCCTTTCTACATTACTCATGTCAGCATTTTCTCTTCAGTACTGTCCAGAAAATGAAACATTTTCCTTCAATCAGATACTGAGTGTTCTGCTACCCTAGCCCTAGCCGGTGTGTCTTGCTTGCGGGCAACGCACAATTGCGCTCTGCCAAAATCGAAATTCACGCGACTGCGTTGACCCCCAACGCACTCGAAATTTACACTGCTCAAGTGCTGCAACGCAAACAAATTTATTTTCGCTGGAGCAGCGCAAATTGAGCAACGCACAGCTGGAGCAACACACTCACAGCTGGAGCAACGCACACTCTGCTGGAGCAACGCAATCTGAGCAGCGCACAGCTCGAGAGCAACGAACTGTTCGAGAGCAACGCACAGCTCAAGAGCAACACACAGCTCAAGAGCAACGCACAGCTGGAGCAACGCAATCTGAGAAGCGCAATCTCATCAGCGAACTGCTGGACAGCGCACACTCTGTCGGAGCAGCACAATTGAGAGCAGCGCAATTGAGAGGAGCGCAATCGAGAGGAGTGCAAGCGACAGGAGCGAGCACTCTGCTGCAGCAGCGCAATCGAGAGGAGCGCAATCACGAGCAGAGCAGGAGAGAGGAGCACAATCGACAGTAGTGCAAGAGAGAGCAGAGCGAGAGAGAGGAGCACAATTGAGAGGAGCGCAATCGACAGGAGTGCATTCGACAGGAGCTCAATCAAGAGCAGCGCAATCGAGAGGAGCTCAATCGAGAGCAGAGCAGGAGAGAGGAGCACTCACTCTGCTGCAGCAGCACAATCTAGAGGAGCTCGATCGAGAGCAGCGCACACTTTGCTGGAGCAGCACAATCAAGAGGAGCGCACTGCTGGACAGCGTAATTAAGAGGAGCGCACTGCTTGACAGTGCCCACTCTGTCGGAGAGGCACAACTCAGAGCAGCATCAGAGCAGCGCAATCGAAAGCAGAGCAATCGAGAGGAGGGCAATCGAGTGAAGAGCAGCAGAGAGGAGCACAATCGACAGGAGCTCACTCGAGAGCAGAGCAGGAGAGAGGAGCGCAATCGACAGTAGTGCAAGAGAGAGCAGAGCGAGAGAGAGGAGCGCAATTGAGAGGAGTGCAATCGAGAGGAGAGCAACCGAGAGGAGCGCAATCGAGAGCAGAGCAGCAGAGAGGAACGCAATCAAGAGGAGCGCTCACTCTGCTGCAGCAGTGCAATCGAGAGGAGCGCAATCACGAGCAGAGCAAGAGAGAGTAGTGCATTCAAAAGGATCGCAAGAGAGAGTAGAACGATCGAAAGGAGTGCAATCGAGAGCAGCACAATTGAGAGGAGTACAATTGAGAGGAGCTCACACTCTGCTGGAGCAGCACAATCTGGAGGGACGCATTCGAGAGCAGAGCATTTGACAGGAGCGCTCACTCTGCTGGAGCAGCACAATCGACAGGAGCACAATCGAGAGCAGAGCAAGAGAGAGGAGCGCAATCGAAAAGAGGGCAATCAAGAGGAGCGCAATTGACAGGAGCGCAATTGACAGGAGTGCAACTGAGATCAGAGCATCCGAGAGGAGCGCTCACTCTGCTGGAGCAGAACAATCAAGAGCAGCGCAATCGAAAGGAACTCTATCAAGAGGAGCGCAATCAACAGGAGCACATTGGAGAGGAGCGTAATGGAGAGGAGCGCAATCAAGAGAAGAGCAGCAGAGAGGAGCTCAATCGACAGGAGCGCAATCGAGAGGAGAGCAGGAGAGAGGAGCTCGATCGACAGGAGACCAATCGACAGGAGCGCAATCGAGAGCAGAGCAGGAGAGAGGAGGTCTGTTGACAGGATCTCAATCGACAGGAGCACAATCAGGAGGAGTGCCATTAAGAGGAGTGAAATCGAGAGGAGCTCAATCGAGAGCTGAGCAAGAGAGAGGAGCTCACTCGAGAGGAGCGCAATCGACAGCAGAGCAAGAGAGAGGAACGCAAGAGAGAGGAGCACAATCGACAGGAACTATATCGACAGGAGCTTTATCAACAGGAGCTCATTGGAGAGGAGCGCAATTGACAGGAGCGCAATCGAGTGAAGAGCAGCAAAGAGGAGCGCAATCAAGAGGAGCGCAATTGACAGGGGTGCAATCGACAGGAGCGCAATTGACAGGAGCTCAATGCAGAGGAGCGCAATCGAGAGACGAGCAGCAGATTGGAGCGCAATCGACAGGAGCGCAACTGAGATCAGAGCATTCGCGAGGAGCGCTCACTCTGCTGCAGCGCAATCGAGAGGAGCGCTCACTCTGCTGGAGCAGCACAATCGACAGGAGCGCAATCAAGAGAAGAGCAATCGACAGGAGCGCAATCGACAGGAGCGCAATCGACAGGAGCTCAATTGAGAGCAGAGCAGGAGAGAGGAGCGCAATGGAGAGCAGAGCAATCAACAGGAGTCAATCAAGAGGAGCGCAATCAAGAGGAGCGCAAGAGAGAGGAGTGCAATTAACAGGAGCACAATCGAAAGTAGAGCAGGAGAGAGGAGCGCAATCAACACGAGTGCAAGAGAGAGGATCGCAATCGACAGGAGCGCCCGCTCTGCTGGAGCAGCACAATCGACATGAGTGCAATCAAGACAAACGCAATCGACAGGAGCGCAATCGACAAAAGTGCAATCAACAGCAGCTCAATTGACAGGAGCGCAATCGAGAGACGAGCAGCAGAGAGGAGTGCAATCGACAGGAGCGCAATCGACAGGAGTGCAAGAGAGAGGAGTGCAATTAAGAGGAGCGCAATGGACAGGAGCGCAATGGACAGGAGCGCTAGCTCTGCTGAAGCAGCACAATCAAGAGCAGCGCATTCGACAGGAGTTCAATTCGAAGCAGCGAACACTATGCTGGAGGAGCGCAATCGAGAGCAGAGCAAGAGAGAGGAGCGCAATGAAGAAGAGTGCAATCGAGAGGATGGCAATCGAGAGGATGGCAATCGAGAGGACGGCAATCGAGAGGACGGCAATCGAGAGGACGGCAACCGACAGGAGCTCAATCGACAGGAGAGCAATCGACAGGAGCGCAAGAGAGAAGAGAGCAATCAACAGGAGCGCAAGAGAGGAGTGAAATCGACAGGAGCTCGATCGAGAGCAGAACACTATGCTGGAGGAGCGCAATCGAGAGAAGAGCAGGAGAGAGTAGCTCTATTGACAGGAGTGCAATCAACAGGTGGGCAAGTTTAGGGTTAGGGTTAGGGTTAGGGTTAGGGTTAGGGTTAGGGTTAGGGTTAGGGTTAGGGTTAGGGTTAGGGTTAGGGTTAGGGTTAGGGTTAGGGTTAGGGTTAGGGTTAGGGTTAGGGTT